ACAATCCAACAACCAGTTTCACATCATCTGAGACAACTACCAATCCAACAACCAGTATCACAACATCTGAGACAACTAACAATCCAACAACCAGTTTCACAACATCTGAGACAACTAACAAACAAACAACCAGTTTCAAACCATCTGAGGCAATTAACAATTTAGCTAACAGTTTCACATCATCTGAGAAAACTAATAAGCCAACAACCAGTTTCACAACATCTGAGACAACTAACAAACAAACAACCAGTTTCACACAATCTGAGACAACTAACAATCCAACAACCAGTTTCACAACATCTGAGACAACTAACAATCCAACAACCAGTTTCACATCATCTGAGACAACTAACAATCCAACTACCAGTTTCACATCATCTGAGACAACTAACAATCCAACAACCAGTTTCACATCATCTGAGACAACTAACAATCCAACAACCAGTTTCACATCATCTGAGACAACTAACAATCCAACTACCAGTTTCACAACATTTGAGACAACTAACAATCCAACTACCAGTTTTACATCATCTGAGACAACTAACAATCCAACAACCAGTTTAACACCTGAGACAACTAACAATCCAACTACCAGTTTTACATCATCTGAGACAACTAACAATCCAACTACCAGTTTCACATCATCTGAGACAACTAACAATCCAACAACTAGTATCACACAATCTGAGACAACTAACAATCCAACATCCAGTTTCACATCATCTGAGACAACTAACAATCCAACTACCAGTTTCACATCATCTGAGACAACTAACAATCCAACTACCAGTTTTACATCATCTGAGACAACTAACAATCCAACAACCAGTTTAACAACACCTGAGACAACTAACAATCCAACTACCAGTTTCACATCATCTGAGACAACTAACAATCCAACTACCAGTTTCACAACATCTGAGACAACCACTAATCCAACTACCAGTTTCACAACATCTGAGACCACTAACAATCCAAAAGCCAGTTTCACATCATCTGAGACAACTACCAATCCAACTACCAGTTTCACAACATCTGATACCACTACCAATCCAACTACCAGTTTCACATCATCTGAGACAACCACCAATCCAACTACCAGGTTCACAACATCTGAGACCACCACCAATCCAACTACCAGTTTCACAACATCTGAGACCACTACCAATCCAACTACCAGTTTCACATCATCTGAGACAACCACCAATCCAACTACCAGGTTCACAACATCTGAGACCACCACCAATCCAACTACCAGTTTTACATCATCTGAGACAACTAACAATCCAACAACCAGTTTCACAACACCTGAGACAACTAACAATCCAACTACCAGTTTCACATCATCTGAGACAACTAACAATCCAACAACCAGTTTCACATCATCTGAGACAACTAACAATCCAACAACCAGTTTCACAACATCTGAGACAACTAACAATCCAACTACCAGTTTCACAACATCTGAGACAACCACCAATCCAACTACCAGTTTCACAACATCTGAGACCACTAACAATCCAAAAGCCAGTTTCACATCATCTGAGACAACTACCAATCCAACTACCAGTTTCACAACATCTGATACCACTACCAATCCAACTACCAGTTTCACATCATCTGAGACAACCACCAATCCAACTACCAGGTTCACAACATCTGAGACCACCACCAATCCAACTACCAGTTTCACAACATCTGAGACCACTACCAATCCAACTACCAGTTTCACAACATCTGAGACAACCACCAATCCAACTACCAGTTTCACATCATCTGAGACCACTAACAATCCAACAACCAGTTTCACATCATCTGAGACAACTACCAATCCAACAACCAGTATCACAACATCTGAGACAACTAACAATCCAACAACCAGTTTCACAACATCTGAGACAACTAACAAACAAACAACCAGTTTCAAACCATCTGAGGCAATTAACAATTTAGCTAACAGTTTCACATCATCTGAGAAAACTAACATTCCAACTACCAGTTTCACATCATCTGAGACAACTAACAAACAAACAACCAGTTTCACAACATCTGAGACAACTAACAATCCAACAACCAGTTTTACAACATCTGAGACAACTAACAATCCAACAACCAGTTTCACATCATCTGAGACAACTAACAATCCAACAACTAGTATCACACAATCTGAGACAACTAACAATCCAACAACCAGTTTCACAACGCCTAGGACAACTAACAATCCAACTACCAGTTTCATATCATCTGAGACAACTAACAATCCAACTACCAGCTTTACAACATCTGAGACAACTAACAATCCAACTACCAGTTTCACAACATCTGAGACAACTAACAATCCAACTACCAGTTTTACATCATCTGAGACAACTAACAATCCAACAACCAGTTTAACAACACCTGAGACAACTAACAATCCAACTACCAGTTTCACAACATCTGAGACAACCAACAATCCAACTACCAGTTTCACAACATCTGAGACAACTACCAGTCCAACTACCAGTTTCACAACATCTGAGACAACCACCAATCCAACTACCAGTTTCACAACATCTGAGACCACTAACAATCCAAAAGCCAGTTTCACATCATCTGAGACAACTACCAATCCAACTACCAGTTTCACAACATCTGAGACAACTACCAATCCAACTACCAGTTTCACAACATCTGATACCACTACCAATCCAACTACCAGTTTCACATCATCTGAGAAAACCACCAATCCAACTACCAGGTTCACAACATCTGAGACCACCACCAATCCAACTACCAGTTTCACAACATCTGAGACAACCACCAGTCCAACTACCAGTTTCACAACATCTGAGACAACCACCAGTCCAACTACCAGTTTCACAACATCTGAGACCACTACCAATCCAACTACCAGTTTCACATCATCTGAGACAACCACCAATCCAACTACCAGTTTCACAACATCTGAGACAACCACCAATCCAACTACCAGTTTCACAACATCTGAGACATCCACCAATCCAACTACCAGTTTCACAACATCTGAGACAACCACCAATCCAACTACCAGGTTCACAACATCTGAGACCACCACCAATCCAACTACCAGGTTCACAACATCTGAGACCACCACCAGTCCAACTACCAGTTTCACAACATCTGAGACAACCACCAATCCAACTACCAGTTTCACAACATCTGAGACAACTAACAATCCAACTACCAGTTTCACATCATCTGAGAAAACGAATAAGCCAACAAGCAGTTTCACAACATCTGAGACAACTAACAATCCAACAACCAGTTTCACAACATCTGAGACAACTACCAATCCAACAACCAGTTTCACATCATCTGAGACAACTACCAATCCAACTACCAGTTTCACATCATCTGAGACCACAAACAATCCAACTACCAGTTTCACAACATCTGAGACAACTACCAATCCAACAACCAGTTTCACATCATCTGAGACCACAAACAATCCAACTACCAGTTTCACATCATCTGAGACCACTAACAATCCAACTACCAGTTTCACAACATCTGAGACAACTACCAATCCAACAACCAGTTTGACAACATCTGAGACAACTAACAAACAAACAACCAGTTTCACAACATCTGAGACAACTACCAATCCAACAACCAGTTTCACATCATCTGAGACAACTAACAATCCAACAACCAGATTCACAACATCTAAGTTAACTAACAATCCAACTACTAGTTTCACAACATCTGAGACGTCTAACAAACAAACAACCAGTTTCACAACATCTGAGACAACTAACAATCCAACAACCAGTTTCACATCATCTGAGACAACTAACAATCCAACTACCAGTTTCACAACATCTGAGACAACTAACAAACAAACAACCAGTTTCACAACATCTGAGACAACTAACAAACAAACAGCCAGTTTCACAACATCTGAGACAACTAACAAACAAACAACCAGTTTCACATCATCCGAGGCATCTAACAACACAACTACCAGTTTAAAACCATCTGAGGCAATTAACAATTTAGCTAACAGTTTCACATCATCTGAGACAACTACCAATCCAACTACCAGTTTGACAACATCTGAGACAACCACCAATCCAACAACCAGTTTCACAACATCTGAGACAACCAGTTTCACAACATCTGAGACAAACACCAATCCAACAACCAGTTTCACAACATCTGAGACAACCACCAATCCAACAACCAGTTTCACAACATCTGAGACAACTACCAATCCAACTACCAGTTTGACAACATCTGAGACAACCACCAATCCAACAACCAGTTTCACAACATCTGAGACAACCACCAATCCAACAACCAGTTTGACAACATCTGAGACAACCACCAATCCAACAACCAGTTTCACAACATCTGAGACAACCACCAATCCAACTACCAGTTTGACAACATCTGAGACAACCACCAATCCAACAACCAGTTTCACAACATCTGAGACAACCACCAATCCAACAACCAGTTTCACAACATCTGAGACAACCACCAATCCAACAACCAGTTTCACAACATCTGAGACAACTAACAAACAAACAGCCAGTTTCACAACATCTGAGGCATCTAACAACACAACTACCAGTTTAAAACCATCTGAGGCAATTAACAATTTAGCTAACAGTTTCACATCATCTGAGACAACTAATAAGCCAACAACCAGTTTCACAACATCTGAGACAAACAATCCAACAACCAGTTTCACATCATCTGAGACAACTAAAAATGCAATTACCAGTTTCACAACATCTGAGACAACTAAGAAACCATCAACCAGTTTCACATCATCTGGGATAACTAACAATCCAACTACCAGTTTCACAACATCTGAGACAACTAACAGTTCAACTACAGATTATCTAAAAGACAATAATGGATTTATTAATCCTTCAAAAGCATCGTAAGTGTGTTGTTACCATGTCTTTCAAGAATTAAAACTGTTATAACAGAATACAGAGATATTTTTTTCAATTTTGCAGAGAAGCCTTGGACAATCTGGAGTCTAAGATGGAAGAGATGGAAAAAAACAATAGAAGCAAAGAACAGATTGTCATGGGGGATGTTATTGGTCTTCTTCACATACAAGATGAGAACACAGAAACCAGAGACACATGTTACTCTTCAGATCCGAACAGGATAAACGTAAGACTTGAGAAACAATAAAACATGGTATTATTTCTTATTTATTATGCTTTTTTTCCCACAGGTCACTGATTGTCAAAGTGACCTGAACACAGACATTCCCTGGTATGTAAGGATTCCCAGTGAAGCCTCTAATAAATCACGACTGGAAAACAACGGACGTGCAGTACTTGTAGTTCTACGGTTCAAAAACATGGGAAAGGTACTCACAATAAAAACATTTAAAATTCCATGTTTGAACATTTTAAAGGGGGGGGGGGGTTGACTGTTTTTTCCTTTGCATGATTGTGTTTATGGGGTGCAATATAACATGTATTCGTGGTTTTTCTTTTTTAAAAAGTCTTATTTTTCATAAACTTCACCTTTATTGTCAGCCGCGCTCTCCTCTGTCCTCGAACGAGCGGTTGACTTCCTGAGTCTATGAAACCGCTCCCTCAGAAACAGGCAGTGGGCTCAGATTGGTTAGTTTAGGCCGGTGTGTTGTGATTGGCTAAACTGTCGCTTACGTTGTCCGGAATGTTAACGCCAATTACCTTTACGGGCGAAACGTGCATGTCATGAGCTCCGGTCCAGATGTAAATAATAGTGTCGAACTGCAGTATCAGTTTGAGGCAGAATCCAGGCTGATCTCATGAAGTAGCGCGTGTATGACACGCCAATTCGTATTTCCATTTTTGGCATGCTATCAACACGCATAATCACTTTTCAGCGTGTTTATGAACGCCATTGACTTAACGTTATTACTGTATATATAAATATATGACTTACCTCAACCCCGTCCCTAAACTTAACCGTCACTGGGGTTAATGGCATTTATGAGTGTTCCCTCACCATCCTAGGAAAAAAAAGATAGCTCCCCAGATGTAGATGTACATTTTGCTTCGTTTCGCTCGTACATTTGACAGCGTGTACAGACACGCAGAATGACGCGGACGTTAATGGCGTAGACATACACGCATACACGCGGATAGCTCAAAATGCGTAGAGAACACGCCACTTGACTCGAAAATCATGATGTCATGTTGAAGCCGCGATGAAGAGAGTCAAGCAGAACGTCACCACACACGGCTCTTACTAAACGTTTCTGAATGATAATGTGCTACATTTTTTAACCATATACACGTTTGTTTTACACAATAGCATCTGACTGGCAACAATGGCAACTGACTGGCTACTAATGTTACTCAAACAGCGTGGCATTAGTTTACGTTCTTGATCAAATCAAAAATAACGTCATAAAGCATATATACATGAAAAAAACGTTTAAAAGATTAGTACTTATACAAAATTCAGGTCCATAAAGTTTGTACGCGTTTGTCGTAGACACAAAATAGCATAACTAGTAGCCCAGTGGCTATAAAGCCAGCGATGGCATTTGAAAAAAAATAAAACACAAGGCTATGTCTGGAATTATACATGCAAATACATTTAAAATGATTAAGTCTTAGCCTACTTACAGGTTGTGGCCCAACAACTGCTGCCTCTGGTTTTAAAGTCGGATCTGCTTCATGTTTTAGTAACAGTTTCTTGTTAAATCCGGTGTTGAACTCGTGGAGATTCTGGAAGCTGTCTTCTGTAAATGCGCAGCACAGAGAGCTAGATTACGATCGTCATTTTCAGGAACATAATCAAACATAAATAGTATCCATTGTTGACGAAGTACAGCGTCCGTGGGAAGCTCGAACACAGAAGACCTGACAGCTGGGTGAACACAACACACTCGACGAGCTGCTGAAATATGCCAATGCCCTTTTTTGCATATTCCGGAGGGTGTGGTTGATGCAAATGTGTAGGTTAGTGACGTACCATAACCCAGCTGTAGTCCAAATCGAGTCATTTTTGTAGGCAATATACTTCCTGATTTTTAAAAGACGATATCTCTGCTTACACTGAACTTTCAGCGCTGCAACTTTGCAGATACTGTTCATGCACCAACAGCAACATTACACACTATTTAAAATGTAAAAAGTGAAATCGCAATCGCAATATTATGTCATAACCCCCACTGTTATGATGCTTCTTTGGTGTTTTTTGTCCTCTTTGAGATTATGAATTGTTGTTTGAAAAGATTTGAAAAATCCACTTTTGTGTTCCAGTGAAAAGTAACAGCATAAGAGACATTTATGAGTTAAAACTATTCTTTTAACAAATGCTTCATGATCTATTGTATTCAAACATGTTTATATTTGAATTTCTCTATTTCTTATTTAGGATGAAACTGAAAATTACACAGTTTTGAACAATGAGGTTTATGGAATAACGATGAGGGCCAAAATCTCCAACCTTACCAACAAAATAGAAATGTTCTTTACACAGAAAGAACTGGTAATGAAGGTTTTGTTGTGAAACTTATTTTGTTATAATAATCAGACACTGTGGAAGCACAATAAAAATGTTCTTACAGGTCGGCGAGGCGTCTTGCAGTTCTTGGGATGGCAAAGGTACATTTATGTATGGCTGTATTGATCAGGTCCTATCAACAAACCTAATATATTTGATGCATTTCATTCCTCTCTCTCTTTTCTTTGAAGGAAATCTAACATGGACGACGTTCGGCTGTGCGACCAAAAAAATCAACAAAAACACTATACAGTGCTTGTGTTCACATCTGACGTTCTTTGCAGTGCTGATGGTGAGAAGCTTCTCAGGCCCCGTCCACACTACTGCGTTTTCGTTTAAAAACGGACAATTAAAACTAATAAGATCTCCGTCCACACCAGCGTTTTATCTGCGTATTAGAAATGATCTTAGTCCACATTAAAACGACTGAAAACGTACTGCGCATGCCGGTGTAAACAGTGATTGACGAATCAGGGAAGGATACGTCATGACTGATAACAGCCAATCATAGAGCAGAGCGTCAGCGTTTCTAAATACCTCCGTTTTGTCTCGTCTACACTAAAACGCCCTCCGGAGATTGAAAACGCAAAACAGAGCTGCAGTGTTTCTAAACTTCTCCGTTTTAGGTCTTCGTTTTTCCCGTTTTAGTCTGGACGGGAGGTGCAAACGTAGCAAAAGGTCTCCGTTTTTAAACGAAAACGCAGTAGTGTGGACGGGGCCTCAGAGATTCATTTAAAGACCCCATGAAATCAATTTCAGTGTCTTTGATATGCTAGTGAAGTTCAATAAAGAAATTTAATAGATAAATGCATTTCAAATTTAAAGATCTGATTTTTGTTTACAAGCAACAACAGGTTTTTTTAAAAATCATCCAGTTGATCTGAGCGTTTCTGTTGTTCCCTTTCGAGGGAACTCAACGCTGCGTCAAAAATCGACACATTGGGGACGCTCCCTTAGCGTGCGCCCCTGAAGTATTAATGAAATTAATCCAATCCTGATTGGTGTTGCATCATGACGTACATGTGACGGCATAAAAGGAAGCATAAAAGTGACGCTGACACAAACACATACCAGCTTTCGCTCTTCACCAAGCGCTCCGTGTTGAAAACTCTGTCTTATTTGATGGTGTTTGTGTTGTTTGAAAGTGCTGCTGAGGCACTTACTCATTCTTCGTCTGAGGATCCCGTAGCCCCTGAGAGTGGTGCAGGAGCCCGCATTGCGGCTTCTTCTGCCCGCGATCAGGTCCCGATGCTTGAGCTCTCTGCTTCCGAGGAAGTAGATGTGCTCAGCATTGATGCGGATGACCATGAGGTGGGCGCGCCAGTTCACGGCCAAGGTTATGAGGAGCTGGTAAAGGTTATGAGGAGCTGGTAAAGGTTATGAGGAGCTGGTAGAGGTTATGAGGAGCTGGTAGAGGTTGTGACTCGTGCCGTGGCCAGACTTAACATCAGCTGGCCACAGGATGAGCAGGGAACGCAAGTGAAAAGCAAACGTTTCCTGCGGCACGGGTCACAGCCTCAGCGCCGGGGTTTGCCGTTTTTCCCGGATCTCATAAAGAGAACTCGAGATCGTGGGATAAACAGCACTTGTCCAGTGTCTCCAATCCCAGTATGGTCGATTATGTTATGGGGGCACGGGATATGGGCTATGGGAAGAAGCCTAAAGTAGAGGAAGCCTTAGCGGGTTACCGTTCCCCTGAGGCGGGCATCTTCCCTAAAGACCCCGGCACTGCAGTGCCTAAGACCTGCAGAGATACATCTGCTTTAATAGGCAGGGCTTACACGCCGGCAGGTCGGGCTGGTTCATGTCTGCATTCGATGACTATTTTGCAGGCACACCAGCCCGATCTCCTGAAAGATTTAGACTAGGGGTAGGGGCCAACTCCTGAGGACACCGCAGAGTTGCGCAAGGCCACAGATTTGTCTCTCTGGGCCACAAAAGAGACGGCCCGTGCCATTGGCCGCTCTATGGCATCTATGGTGGCCACTGAGAGGCATCTGTGGCTAAATCTATCGGGTATAAAAGAAAAAGATAGATCTTTTCTGCTGGATGCGCCGCTCTCGCCTTCTGGCCTGTTCGGTGACGCCGTTACATCGATCGTCGACAGGTTTCAGGAGGCGAAGAAACAATCTGCGGCGTTCCAGCAGTACCTCCCCCGTAAGGCCAAGTCTAAATCGAGTAGGGTGGGGCAAAGAGATCAGCCCCAGCCATCAACCAGCTCCTCACATCGTGCAGAGGCGAGAGAGAGCGTTTCCTCTAGAGCCCCTCCTCCGGGAGCTTGGCAACAGAGGAAACGCTCTCAGCCGAAGCCCTCCAGCCAGAGGGGCGTCATTCAGGCTAGGAGGGCTTCAGGGAAGAAGTCCTAGCCGGAGTGGTGAGACCTCTGCGGGCTGCCCCGTCCGTTGCAGGGCAACCGAGGTTGTTCTAGCAGCAGAGCCCTGTAGGAAACGATGTGTGTTGCCGGCCGTCAACGACGCTTCGGGCCGCATCTCTTTCCAGCGAATATATTCTAACAAAGAACGTCAGGTATGGTCACAAAAACCGAATTGACTACAGCCTGCCGGTCTTCTGCTTCAGGGGGTCAAGACGGATGCTCGAAGAACACCAGAGGCCAATCTCGAGAGGCTGGTTCCCTTAGTATATTTTGTAGAGGCTTGGTATCATCTTCCCAACATATCTGCATGGGTCCTGCATATAATAAAATCAGGGTACAGGGATCTTGCTTCATCGCGAGGCTGGTATGTGTCAGCGTCACTTTTATGCTTCCGGTTATGCCGTCACATGTTACGTCCTGACGCAACACCAATCAGGATCGGAGTAGTTTCATTCATTCTTCAGAGGCGCACGCTAAGGGAGCGTCCCCAAAGTGTTGATTCTCGACGCAGTGTCTCGTTCCCTTCTCAGGGAACAAGGGTTATGGTCATAACCCGAGATGTTTTCTCTGCTCAGTCTCCTCCAGGTGTAAATCTAAACAGCACAGCGGAGAATGTGGAAGCATTGAGCTTCATCTCTTCTATCGGCTGTGGCATCTCCATGTTTTTCCTGTCCGTCGGTCTGTTCATGCATTTCCTATTACGGTAGAGTATCTTAAAATATAACATAAAGCTACTTTAAGTTCTTTGACCAATCACTTATGCTCCTCTTTTAGATAAAAGCATCTGAGAAAGCATAAATGCATGTTACAAATACAGTCTTTTTATATTCGAACAGGAAAGCCAAATCAAACCAGGCCACGAAGATCCTGATGAACATGTTTGTGGCTTTGTTTCTCCTGAATCTATCCTTTTTGTCAAACGAGAGTATCGCCAACACAGAAGACAAGGCTGCGTGCGTCTTCATAGCGCTGCTCATGCATTACTCAATGCTGGCTACATTCAACTGGTTCTTCATTCAAGCTCTTCATATGTACTTATGGCTCATCAGACAGAACGTCACCGTCACAAACTACATGAGGAAGATCACCGTTTTCGGCTGGAGTGAGTTATATGGAGAAATCACCTGTTATAGTGTTCACTTTAGAAAATATATTGCGCATAAGACATATCAACTGTCATGATACTTTTATGTGTTTCTGTCCTTTTCTTGACCCGTTCCTTTGAGCATCGGAGCAGTCACAAAAATGTGTCTCCATCCATGTTATTTTAGTATTTTATTTGGCATTCAGATTTTTATTTACCAATAATAACCCTTGTCTCCGTGTGCTTTCAGTGATTCCGGCTCCAATAGTCGTAGCTGTTGTTTCATTAGGAGAATATAAAGAAGTGATTATAACAGCAACATCTGGAAAAAACAGACGAATGTAAGTTGTTCTGATGTCACACATGCATGAAATAATGAAGCTTGTAACAGGTCAACATTGTCTCTTCTCTTCTAATTACAGGTGCTGGATTACAGATCCTTTAATTCACTACATAGTGAACCTTGGCTACTACGCTCTAGTCTTCATCTTCACGACAGGAGTCTTCATCATGATCGTCACTAAGATTGTCCAAGCCCGACACATAAAAGTGGCTGACGGCAAGAGTTGCACGTTCAGAAAGCAGCTGATGATGGTGTTGAGTTTGTTCCTGCTCTTCGGCCTGACGTGGGCTGTGGCGTTCTTCAGTTATGGACCGATGCTCATCCCCTCATACTACATCTTCACTTTCTTGAACTCGTTTCAGGGTGAGAAAAACCCTCAAACAAAAGCAATATATAGACCCTCTCCAATATTTTGAATTTGGACTGCAATACCCAGTTCAACCACTAGCTGTCAATTTTACATAGTGCACCTTTAATGATACATTGAATGCATTTAAATTAATGTTGTTTCTCTTAAAAGAAAAGATGTTTCTCTTATCGTTTTTGTTTGTTTTTCAGGGTTTTTCCTCTTCCTGTATTACAACCACATTCATAATGATGTTGCGGGAAATTTCTCTGATGATCCAGAAAGCTCCAGCTCCACCACAACCATCGTTTAATCCAGCATTAATGTTTAATGACTGAAAATATGTAATTTGACCAGGAAAAACCTAGTCTTAAGTCAGTGGCATGTTATTTACAGTAGATGTAATTTTAAGGGCACATGCTTGGCCATAATGTACAGTGTGCACAATGCACACACTTGAACTCTCATCTACACAGACGCAGGAGTTCCCATTGCAAATCTTACATTATTACAAGAAAAAATATGAACACACAAGGGAATCATTGTGGCGTCCATGAAGATGTGAAAAAATAGGCATAAATCTAGCTTACACATATAGAGAAATTATTATAAGCCGGTTTAACCAAAGCTAATTTGGTTGGGTTTCTCCTTTGTCTCTTAGACTAATTTCTTAAACTGAGCTGCTGTTTAAGGGGAACTGTTTTTAAAATTTAATTCTCACCAAAGACAAATGTTTATATGATGTCATGTTTATAATCTTTAGTGAGAACTGTTTAAAATGTTAAATTATGACCCTAAAATGTACAACATTATTGAAATCACTCAAAATAAATGACAAATATCTGTGATGATCTTTACAGAAACCGTCTTGTTTGTTGTGGCGCATTAAATTGTGATAAATATTAATACTGTTAGATTTATGTAAGCAATAAGGTACGAGAGGCTGTGCTGTATCGTGAAAAAGTAAGCGGAGCAACCCCTTCAGCCGTTACTTATTCATGATACAGCACTTGCCTTGAGTACCTTATTGCTTTTATAAAACGGTTTCCACACAATATTAAAGTAAAAAACAATGTATTAGAGCAAGTTTCTAGAAGTAAAATCACTAAAAGCCTTCCTTCCGCTAGAAAAAATAGTCCCTGAGCGTGAACCGCAACAACGCTCCAATGTGTAAAATGCATGAAAGCTCAAATAAAAACAACATAGAACCGCAGTGTCGCGCAGCGATCAATAGAACCATTGGGTGAAGCGGTCATAGCCGTGTTTTATCGTGAATAAAGCACAGCTCTTGACCAATCAGAATCAAGGATTCGAACTAACCGTTTTATAATGAGAGTTATAAATTATGCATGTCAGAGAGACACAAACTATAAGCTACTGCACCTGTTTTAGAAAACAAATTTACATCTTCCTGATGACACTAAATCCAAACGCCAACGGATTCAGATATTTCCTTGATCAAACACAGGGATGTGGATCATATTTGGTTACGGAAAATGCAAAACACAGAAAATACTGTAATTCAGCTAAAACACAAATGTCTGTTTTCATGTTTGCAAAATGAACTTTATGTCAGTGTTATGTACAGCGGCTCTGAGCTGAGGATCGTAATCGTGCGGCTTCATATGAGAACGGATGAAACTCTCTCTCCTCTTGGACTGTGGACGTTCATCTCAAGAATGTAATAAGAAAATGTTTTAAGATTTATTACTTACATTTATTGAAAAGAAAATTCAACTTGTGTCTCTCTCAGCCTGTTTTGGGGAATTATGTCTCGACAAAATCAGAATTTGCTGTGGCTGATGATCGTTTGTTGTGCTTCAAGCTAGATAAGTATGTTGCTTTAAAAAAAAAATCAAAATGTTAACATCATTACATAGTGTCCTTATGTGTTGTATTTCTGCAGACATCTCAGAAAACTCCAATCTCCAAGTCTGTGTGACTGACAACAACAAATCCAGGTAGATGGTGAATATTACATATTTATTTTTTAAAATCACTTTATATCGGTTGTTTTTTCATTGCACTGCTCTTTGTCTCGGATTTTTAAGAAAAAAATACTAAACTAGCTAAACTAACCACCTTATTGTTATTTGTTATCATATAATATTGGGTACAGTCTCTTTTATTGAAAGTACACCAGAGCTCATTGAACAGCATTTGCATACATACACATATACATTTTCTTTCCACAATTATATTCAAATTCACAATTTGAGAGAGGTGTACATCACGAAATGGACTACTTGCAACGACTTCGACTTTTTTATTAATTACAGTTCAGGCGTTTCTTTATTCTGTATCAGATTGCAACTTCTTTTAAAAGGGACCTATATCCGATATCTGCATTTACATTGTACTTGGTGAAACAACCGTTAGAAATGTTCATTTAGTTTTTTCCCTAACCGATGCCAGTCATTAACCAGTAACTGGCAAGATGTTATATTAGAATTGAATTATTTTTTTTTAAAATTAGAATTCAAATCAATTAAAATGCATAACAATTTCCACAACTTCATCCAAACCTTTTTAGTGTGTGCCAGCTGCCCGTGCCTCTCAGACCTGTCCTGTCCTCAGATCCACCACAACCATCGTTCAATCCAGAGACAATGCAGTGGAAAATGTTTATAATGAGCTTAATTAAGACAACAAGTCAAAAGTAGAAGGTCAGAATACTAGTCGTGTTTAATAATAATCACTAAGATGTTGTAAAGTGAGGGGGATGTAATAACTTATAATGGGATCATAAATGGGAACATTAGCTTAAGACATTTTGAACTAACGTTAATTTAACACATACTTGAACATCATCACTGGAAGCTACTTTGTAAGTCATTTTTTTTCTCGTATTGTAAATTCAGGGTAACTGTAACCCTAGTTATGAAATATATTGTTTGTTGACTTTTGAATGTTTAAATTGTGCAATGATCATTATTTCATTAATTGTTTCTTGATGTAGTGGTAAAGATGTCAAGTAAAAAGAATTTTTCAAATAATTATAATGCAGTTTTCATGTAGACTTATGCTCTGACGTATTAAACAAAAGTGAAAATTATATTGTTTCTTTTATACATTGCATTAATATGAGGTATTTTATATTTATTATTATATTATATTATTTTAAAAAAATACTATTGCCTCCATACTGGCATGAACCTGTGCATTATATGCAATATTTGATTTGGTTATTCTACATAAGTATATCAGTTGTAGGCTACTAAATGTTTCTTTTTGCAGGTTTGTTTGCAGTTATGTATTTGATATGCATATGATTTAAGTTTGTGTAACACTAGAGGGCGCTGTGAGATTGTGCAGTGTAACTCACAGTGTCTGAGGTGTGAATGAGATCATCTATAATCGTCTCAGTGTGACGTTTTTGCAATTACAACCAGCTATTGACTCGAAACTTAATAAAATCCAGTTGAAATATTTGAGCATTTCACCTATTGATGACATGTTTTTATGACACTTCCAGTTAGGGGGAGAATCCCCGAAGAATCCTGAAAAAACATGCACTATATTTGTCACAAATTTTTTTTTTGTCACAATACAACCATTTTCAACATTGATAATAATCGGAAATGTTTTTTGAGCAGCAAATCAGCAATTTTAGAATGATTTCTGGAGGATCATGTGACATTGAAGTAATACTGATGCTGAAAATTCAGCTTTGATCACAGGAATAAACACTTACATTTTACAATTTATTAATAAAGAAAAAAGCTATTTTAAATGGGTCTTGCCATGATATTTCGACATAAGAGGACATCAAACATGCTCTGCCCACTGATAATCTTGTTGAAAGCGCTCTAGTTATTGGCGATTCTATTACACAGAACGTTAAAAATAGACGCCAGCCACCAGTCACATGTTTAGCCAGAGCGCCCTGGAGGTGTTCTGACATACGCTGACACTGTTACTTGTAAGACTTGAATGGCTAAAGTATGATAGCACTGCATAGCACAAACTCTGCTACAATAATATGTGAGCAGCATGCATGTAAAAGTTTGCAGTTTTGAGAAAATTACGTTACTGTGTGATTTGATTCCCTGCTGGGGAATTTCATTCATTCATTCATAAACATGAATATCTATCTGTACAATATGAGTCACATAACTAAACATGCGCCATTGGTTTCAAATACCTCCTTTTTCATAGTCCGGACTACAACGCGAAAACAGCATTTTCAAACGTATCTACTTTGGAGAGCGCTTTCAAAAACCTTTGTTTTCGTTAATGAAAAATTATTTGATAAACTTTTAATTAATTTTGTCTCCTTGTGGACGGAAGACAGTGTGGACAAGGCGTGACATTTATAATTTTAAAAGTAGGAAAGGAAATATAGTGGACCTCTTGGAACTGAAGACCCCTGCGATATACTGTTTACTTAAGACATAATCGACTGTTTATGTGAATACTCTCCAAAAAATACATTTTTGTGTGTACATGTGTTTAGGCACATATTCAAAGCACATGGCACCTATAGCGTATATTACATCCTTCATATCTCCAAAAAGTCTTTAGTTTTATCATATATATATATATAAAAGAAAGATAGGCTGTACCGAGATCTTTCTAGAAAAAAATGAGTCGGTGGAATGGGATGGATGGGAATAGCATGCGAATCCAACTCCAATAGTGTAAAAAACTCACTATGCATGAAGTAGCATTTAATCCCCCTTTAATGCACTTTTAATAACAGTGTTTAATATTAAACACGTTCCGCAGTTAAGCAATAGTAAACTGCATTTTACAACACACTTATTTGGCTGATTTGGGCTTTTAGAGAGGAACGAAAGCTCACCGCTGTGAAGGAAAGAAAGGTGCGCTGGAGCACATTCATCGTTTTACATTGATTATCTTGTTTTTATAATTGTTGGAAGCCAAAATCGAAAATTGCAGAGCCCTAATTGGAGGGATTGATAATCGCAGGGCTGAGAATTATCATCATATTTCTCCACTGTAGCAATGGCCTGTGTTTGTACATAAATTTATGATCCTAAAAAGCCCAACTTTACTGAAAACACTCAAGACAAATGACAAATCTCGATGATGATCATTACTGAACCCGTCTGTTATTGTGGGAAGATTGTATTGGGCTGAATTTATTGAGCTTTATAATCCATGTTTGAACATATTCGTGTCAAAGAGACAAACAAGACTGAACCTCTTTTATAAAACAAATTTGCATCTTCAGGATGAAACTAAAGACACACACGTGTTGATTCAGATATTTGCATGATAACTCGGTATTGCATCCTTACAAAATCAGCCACACACGGATGTGGAAGATATCTGGTTATTGACACGAAAACACTGTCAGAATCCACTAATAACTTCTGCATAGTTTAATGTGGCTTTAGCCCTCATGTTGTGTTCGAGTCATTTTGACCCGAAGAGAATTTTCTTTTACCAAATACACTAGTTAATGTTAATGCATTGGACTGAAACTAACTTTGTTCACACAGACTATAACTACTTTTTTTGTCTTCTTTTTACTTTGAGTCTACAGAAAATAGCTTATCAATCACTCGTCATGCTATTTTATCCCCTAATAATGCACTCAATCTTTTTGTCAACTTGTTTTCTTTTGAATAGAGCTGGTTTTGGATTTCTTTTTCAAACTGATTAACAGTAGGCCTCGTTGATCCGATCTCCTCAGTTTTTGAGTGAAAAAAGTTAATCATTTTTCAAAAATTAAAATAAATAAATAATGTCCACTAATAATCGACTAGAAGAGGTTTGGTCTACCAAAATTGTATTAGTCGGTTAGTCGCAGAAAAAAAAAACAGGAAGAGGCTAAATTACGCAAGCTGTAACATAGCCTATGCAACAACATGCAAACATTCGCCTATAATTCATCGACTTCAAATATGGCTTATCATTTGAAACATGTAAGTAGCAGCAACTTTACAAGTCCGCTCGCTCTGATGTTAGCCTAGACAAATGTGCGCTATTAAGGCTATCATACTTTTGAATAAACCAATTCATATGGAAAATAAATATCCTCAGATTATGTAATCCTCATGAAACGTACATATGCGCACGTCCACTTCTGCGGAGATGACGAGTCAGCATCGTCGACTTAATCTCTGCAGCCAAAAACACAGAAAACATTAGCAATAAATCATTAAAATGTTATAGAAAAATTGCTAAATAATATGGTGAATTTGTAGATATTACAAGTCTGTTAAACTCATTTATCAATAATTACACCTCAAATTAAGCTCTGCTTTATTGTCAGCTAGGTCAGCCAGCCAAATAGGTTCCAAGGTCCAGGTGTTGAATAATTTTGAGTTATTTCCACATAAACTTCAAAAACACAAATGTGTGAATTGAAAACACTGACAGCGTGCCCCAAGTATGCGCATTTGAACATATATGTGCACAGGTGTGTAGTCTTTCTCCACAAATTGACCTCAACAAACTACCTGTCTGACCTTAAAAATTCACAATACAGATTTTTTTAAATTGCTTGTGCGTGTCCGAACCAGAATTATTTTGACAACTCTTTATCTACAGAGGTAAAGGGAGGGTGGTCTTCACAAGGGAGAGACTATAGTGACTCTTCAGGACTGCGTTGTCGTCATGTCCAGGCGCAGGTCTTTCATCAGATCTGGATACGGCTGACTGCGGTAAACTTCGGGACAAAAAGAGAGACTAATATTAGCGTTGACGCCGTTTTTCTTTTGATGTAATGTAGTGATCGACCGATATATCGGCCGGCCGATATATCGGCCGGCCGATATATCGGGCCGATATTTGAGGTTTTTACGTGTATCGGAATCGGCCGATACACCGCTGCGCGTTCGCCGATAGTTTTTTTTTCCCGCCGTTATTTATAGACAGGCGGCCACGGGCAGCTCCGTGCTGCTGGAGATGCTGCAGTTCACGTGCCCCGCCCTCCTCCACTAGCAGAGTGCAACCTGCTCTTCACGAGAATGGTAACTTAAACTTTCAAAGGATCTTTTAAATGTTTGACTCCTGAAATATTGTCAAACACTTTGAAAATGGAAACACGTCGCCCTATAACTGTTATGTGCTTGCAACTAAGCAAGTTTGTGGGTCCAAATGGAAAACGCGAATGCCTCGTCTATAAAACTTAACTGCTTGCCATTGTATTAAGAAGCTGCAAATAGTTAAGGTGTAGGTTATCCGTTCAGTATGCATTAGGACAGTCTATGAATATTCTACATTCGAATATCTATTAATTTTGAAGGTGAAAATTAATATTTGAATGTGGAAAAACACGCCCGCGGTTGCAGACTAATAACGTTACCACAGCTGCACAGCTCACTCGGAGCGCTCACTGTCGGTTCTATACTGTGAAACTTCAATCACTGAATGAAGCCTGCTATATTTGGGACAAGAGTCGCGACTCGCAACCTTAAATTGCTTGCACAAAACTCTTGTTTAGCACTCAACATTTGTTTGTTGTTCATTTAACCGACGCGCAGAGACCGTGAGGGCGAGAGAGAGAGAAAGTGCCTGAGCGAGTCCAGGGAGAGACAGAGTGAGCTCTGCGGTCTTGGCCATTAGTTGATTTACTTGCTTTTTAATACGTTGTCAAATATGTTTAAACTCAAATAAACCATCTAATACTAGTAGTTATGTCTCTTTTTATTAATGTGTCCTGTTATTGATGTAATGCGCGTCAACAACAAAACGCGCAACGGGATGTTCGAATATGTTTTTTAGAGGGAATATGCAAACGCCATTTGAGGAATTTTGACAGCCCTAGTATGCATACGGTAACGAACTCTGGTCATAGGATTAAGGAATGCCAACGTTATTCTGTGCTTTTTGTGGGAGATTTATTCAGCGCTCACCTGGCTGAGGTTTGGGGCGTGTGGAGTTTGTCTCCCTCGCAATCGCAGTAATATTAGAGACAAGACATGCTCATTTTATTTTATGTAGGAAAATTGAAACCATGCAGTACATAGTTCGTTTCTTTTAAAATGAAGTACAGTGTGCACTGTGCACTTTATTATGCTGCTGGTTGCTACTGTGTGCAATAGTGTAATTATTTAATTTATGCTTAAATATTCATTTTCAGCACTGAACTTTTTTTGTTCTACTTCATGTTTTTCATATTTTTTAAATTGTTTATCTACTTGTTCTTGTTCTACCTCACATGTTTTTACCATTTGTTAAATATTAATTTTTGAAGTTAGTTAAATGTTACTTTTATTAAATTGAGACCTGTAACATTTGTTAACATCATGTTATTTTTAAGATGTAAATTGAGGGAGCAAAATGTATCGGCTCCAAATATCGGCTCAAGAAAATCGGCAGCCCGTATCGGTCATCGGCTAAGGCTGATGGGAAAAAAATCGGTATCGGTATCGGCACTAAAAAATCCATATCGGTCGATCCCTAATGTAATGAGTTAATCAGGATTTATGGGAAGTGTTCCCAGTTGAATTATAGAAATTGATAATGTTCTATGTGCATGCTAAGTCAAAGAGAGTTTTTAGTCTAGCTTTAAACTGACAGAGTGTTTCTGCTTCCCAGACAATGTTATGAAGATTGTTCCAAATTGTAAGAAATTTTATAAATCATCGAGTCTATTTAAAAGATTGCTGTGGTCAATAGTATCAAATACAGCACTAAGATCGAGTAACACAAATAGAGAGATACAACCACGATCGGATGAGAACAGCAAATCATCTGTGACTCTAATGAGAGCGATCTCAGTACTATGGTACGGTCTAAATCCTGACTGAAAATCCTCGCAGATATAATTTCTTTCTAAAAAGGAACAGCTGTGAAGATACTGCCTTTTCTAGTATATTTGACTTAATTGTGAAAAATTGTAATTATTGCTTTTGTGCTGATTTAAGGGCCCTACATTTTATGCTTGCGCTCCTAAAATTTTCAGTCAGAGGCTACAGTGCTCCTAGTAAAAACAGTCAGCCTGGAGCCCTGTATGCTAACATAATTTGCATGTTTGCAAATGAACCGCATGTCTTTGTTCCAGCGGCTCTGAGCTGAGGATCATAATCATACGGCTTCATATGTGAATGGATGAAACTCTCTCTCCTCTTGGACTGTGGACTTTACCTCTCAAGAATCTAATAAAGAAAATGCTTTAAGATTTAAGAGATAACTACCAATATCTGTAGAAAAGAAAATTAAACTCTTTTGTCTCTATCAGGCTGTTATTGGAAATTATGTCTCAACAAAAGCAGAATTTGCTGTGGCTGATGATCATCTGTTGTGGATTAAGCCAGATAAGTATGTTGCTTAAAAAAAATTGTTTAAAACAACATTCCGAAATGTAGGCTAAATTTTAATTCTAATATATCTAAATAGAGTTTCATATCATTATATTATCATTATTTTATAATAGCTTTTTAATGTTGTCTTTGTGCAGGCTTCTCCAAAAAAGTAATAGTTGGCAACACTTTAAAAGATAAGTGTTTCAAAAAACCAGGTAGATATGAAATATACACTGCTAACATGACTGTAGGAATACTGTAAATGTATTATCTGAATGTGCTTGTGACGACTGACGGATCAAGTTCAAAACTCATTGAGTTGATTTCTTTTCACTCCAGATATTCAACAAGCATGTAGTCCATTAGATTGTCATGGAGATGTAAAGTTTTGCACAATGAATGTCCAAATAAACAAATCTTCTCAAGGTAAGAACGTGTATATTTGATCTTTTAACTGTTCTCAAGTTCAAAACTCTAAAGAAAGTATTTTTTCCAATAATTCAAATCAAATCTTCTCTATTGTTTCCAGGAAAGTGCAAAGACAAGGAAGAAGCACACAGTTTGATCATAAAAAATTATGGAGAGAAATATGAAGTAAGAACTAATGAGTCGTGTAAAGACACAGAACTGTGGTTTTTGCCAAATGAAGGGAACTGTTCGCTACCACAAAATACAAATCAAGGTGTGTCTTGTCCAAAATCAAATGAAATTTTAACAAACACACAACTCATAAGTATAACAGTATTTTTAGTGTTGTAATAATTCATAATTTCTGTATCACTAGTGACTAGCGCATTTCCATTACCCTTCAAATTGCGCAAATTGAAATTGTGAATTGAAAATAAGTCCAATGGAAACACATCAATTGTGCAAAAAAAAGTCCCACGTTGAAAATAAAACAACGGCCGCATGCATGAGGTGGTTTGTCCAGGTATATCGGACGATATTTGTTTTTTTAATATCGGCATTTGGCCGATGTGTTGGAAAGTGGACTTTTATTTTGACGGCGTTCCTGACTTTTGAGAGGAGAACGCAGCGCATGATCACACAGCGCTCACTCACATTCTCCGTCTTCATTAGATTACCAACTCTGTCAGTCATTTGATACTTTGTTAGACAGAACTGGTAAACAAAGATAGTAAATGGTATGTGAAAAAGTAAAGCATTTTCTTTTATATTTTTGGAACAGAAAAGAAAACAATCAGGCTAAAATACTTTCTCATTCACCGTCAACATTCAGCAAATTCCGCATTTACATCATTTAAAGAAATCTTTGAATATCTAATAAACATTTAATTTCACAAACCTTGCAGAATAGAATCCAGCTGTGGTATTTTGTGAAGTGTGCATCTGTAGGCTACATAAACGTGTTACTGCGAGTGACGCTACGTGCGCAGTGAGTGAATGCGAACAGAAGATTAGCTTCACAGGAGACACGATCGGAAAATTTAAATCCTTAATTTTAAAATATTCTGTGCTATGTCCGGTTGCCTGCTGCCCTCTGTGTCATATTCATATCGTTTTCACTGAGTGCTGTATGTAAAATTAGTTACGTTGTCTTTATTTGAAAAAATACCAGTGCACACTAGGGGTGGGCGATATAGCCTAAAAATTATATCACGATATTTCAAGAATATTTGCGATAATGATATTTATCACGATATAGAAAAAATATATATGAAACAATGTTTTATTGGTGATTGCAGCTGGCTGGCAGCAGCATTAGTGCAAAAAAAAAGTATAACATAACTCCTTATCATTTTATTTTAACAATAACTACAGTAATACATTAACAATATTAACAATAACTTCAGAAGCCTGAACAATATTGTCACCTAATAAAATTTACCTAAACTTTGAAGTACAAAAAATTTAAACAAACAGCGGCAATCCAAACAAACCTTCCAAATGTAACAGTTGCCTTGCATCTTTTTTGGATTAGCATCAAATGAGGTATACAATACCTAATTTATACAATAATTGCATAAAATCTGAATATTTAGGGAAAAAAGATTTAGTGGGGAATAAATAAGAGACAATTGTAACACTAAATCTGGTAAAACTTTACACATTGCTCTTTGTATTGTACATTTATGAAAAAACAAGGTAACAAAAATCAAAAGGATTAATTATTATATCCTAGTCAGTCTACTATAAAATTGAGACATGTTTAAAATGTATAGCACAGCTGTTTAATGAGGCAGCAACATATGATCGATAGGACAGAACAAAGGCTATTAATAATCTTTCATTGCGCAAAAGTGTTATGATATGAACGGCTCCAATATATCGCACAGCGCTTATGCGCATCCCGAGCGCTGAATGATGCGCTTGAAGCAACACGGAGTCACAGCGCGCACGCGCAGCGCGTCGAGTACTCCGCACTGAACAGTTCAAAGCACAAAGGAATTGGGAAATAAATACTGATGCGTAGCATCGTGTATAATATACAGTATCTAGCTATGCAATCGTTTATTGAGTCCTTTCTTTTAACAGTTTTACATTTCAGTTACTGTGCGCGTGATGAACAATAGTGCTCTGACTCTAGTGACAAGACACCCGGCCGGTAGAAAGTAACATGATGATTTAGTTACAGCAATAAAGTCCAGCAAGATAAAGTTGTTTTATGCGAAACCATAGACCTTTTATTTACAGATCAAATATAATAATAGTAACATTGAATCATCTTAGAAAGAGTTTAATCGTGTTGACTGTTGTACCCGAACTGCGGAAACTCTGAAGGAAGATTAGGCGAATGCAAAATGTACGCTAGTAGGGAAGTGGTGAAACGAGTTTTCATGCATATTTGACAAAAAAAATAAATTGTGTTGTTTGAGCTCTGACCTCTTGTACTCAAACAACTTCCATACTATTGAAGTAGCTCCCTTTTTAGGAACTAAATCTTGATCTGATCCGGAGGCTGACATGCTGCTGTGTTGCGCGCGCGCTAAGTAATGTAAATACGCCATACGTCATCATATCATCAATATCGCGATATGACAATTTTTTATCATGTAAAATTTTATACCGGTATTATCGTGGACGGTATGATATGGCACAGCCCTAGTGCACACGAAATTACCAGATTACCGAGTGCCCGTTACGGTGTTTACTATTCACATATTCATATATTTTTTAAAATTACTTTATTTGTGAAAAATACTGTAATAGGATTGCAAATTCAAGAAGTAGCCATCTAAACTATTAGCATGTTATTTTAAAGATTTGTTTTGAATTTTTTTCTTTAATTTATTAAATATTGATTAATATAAATATAAAGTAGCCTATGCTTGAATCGCCATGATTTTTGGAATGACTCATAGCGAGAGGCAAAAATTAAGTTTTAGTCGCATGACATCATCATTTAGTCATTTCCCAATCGTTTTTCTTTTTAATTGACATTTAGAAAATATCGCAAAAGTTATGTCGTACAGTACTATAAAAGACAGATTACACAGTTTTACTGTAACATTAGGCAATACACTTACAGTACCCAACATTTACATAATCTATAATTTCCAAATATCCATCAAATATGTAATCAAGTGAAGGATCAATGAAGACATCCTCTACAATAATTTAGGCAAATTATAGTTTTTACAGTACTGTATATAGTGGCCAATTGTGGCTACCACTATGTGAAATCAATTAGCTATAACGAGTATTCATCATGTGTGGTTATATGTAATTTAAATATTCATACAAACACACATTTTATGTCTGTAGTAGGGCTGTAACAACTAATCGATAAAATCGATTTTGAAAATCGTTGTCAACGAATGTCATTATCGATTAGTTGGTCTGATTACGTCACGGGGATTGTTTACTTGCTACATGCGCTTCTTACATGCGCTTCATGAGGCACACACGCAGTCTCTCTCCCTCGCCGCTCTACCCTGTCTCGCACGCGCAACACCGACCGTTTGAACGGAGCACATTATCTTCTGTCTCGCGCGCGCAACACGGACGGTTTGGAGCACATTATCTTCTGTCTCGCATGCGCGCTCTTGATTCCGTGAGTTTGAACTAATTTGCGGGCATCAGGAAACCGCTATCAATATGCAGCATACACGAAAATCATTCACCTTTCGGCAAATTCGCCGTTTTGAAACCAAAATAGGTGACCTACGTTAATCGTGTATACTTTATGAAGCCATACTGTAGTATAATGTGAGATAGAAATGTATATTTAAAGGATTAGTTCACTTTTGAAAAAACCTTTGCTGATAATTTACTCACCCCCATGTCATCCAAGATGTCCATGTCTTTCTTTCCTCAGTCGAAAAGAAATTAAGGTTTTTGATGAAAACATTACAGGATTTTTCACCTTATAATGGACTTCAATGGGAACCAGGTCCAACCGAGGTCCAAACGACAGTTATAACAGTTTCAGATGCAGCTTCAAATGTCTTTAAACGACACCAGACGATGAATAAGGGTCTTATCATGCGAAACGATCGGTTATTTCAAAACTTATTCCAAAAATGTAACTTTTCTAAGGACAAATGCTAGCCTTTCTCCATTCTGTGAGGCGCGTTTGCAACGCCACGTAATACGTAATTACGTTCAAAAGGTCACGGGCGACGTAGCCGGAAGTACAGAGTCAGTGTTTACAAGTTGAACGCATTGGTTGAACGTGCAAACTAACTCAAACGCCGTTTACAAAAAAGGAATTAAAAGGTAAAACAACGATGTCGGACGATTTTGATTCTGTACTTCCGGGTACGTCGCCCGTGACCTTTTGAACGTAATTACGTATTACGTGACGTTGCAAACGCGCCTCACAGAATGGAGAAAGGCTAGCATTTGTCCTTAGAAAAGTTACATTTTTGGAATAAGCTTTGAAATAACCGATCGTTTCGCATGATAAGACCCTTATTCATCGTCTGGTGTCGTTTAAAGACATTTGAAGCTGCATCTGAAACTGTTATTAACACTATCGTTTGGACCTTGAACCATCCGGTTCCCATTGAAGTCCATTATATGGAGAAAAATCCTGGAATGTTTTCATCAAAAACCTAAATTTCTTTTCGACTGAGGAAAGAAAGACATGGACATCTTGGATGACATGGGGGTGAGTAAATTATCAGCAAAAGTTTTTTCAAAAGTGAACTAATCCTTTAAGTCATTAAATTCAAGTTAACGTAAGCTTTTCCCTCCACTGCGGCTGTCAGTCATTCTCTATTCGGTGTTCAAACAGCGCTTCGCGTTCGGTTACAACAGTTAACATGATGAAACTCTTTCCAAGATGATTCAATGTTATTATTATAATTGATCCGTATAGATAAAGGTCTATGGTTTCGTAATATAATGACTATCTTGCTAGACTTTTATTGCTGTAACTTAATCACTTTCTTTCTACTGAGTGTCTGTTAGATCACAACACTAGAGTAGACTCGGCGCTAGTGTTAATTTTACCAGCCATTTTTAAATTTAGTTTCAGTTTTAGTCCAGTTTCAGCATCGTTTGTTAGTTTTTATCACATTTAGTCGACATCATCCCATTTTTATTTAGTCTAGTTTTAGTCGACTATAAGTCGAGCATTTTAGTCTTTATTTTAGTCCAAGAAAACATAATTTTATTCGTTTAGTTTTAGTCAAAAAAAACTGTCAACATTTTAGTCTAGTTTTAGTCAGGACATCATTTTAACCTTTTACTTTTTTGTCAGCAGATAATATTTAACATTTCCTAAAATTATTTCACAATTCAACATTTTCTCTCATCTTTTTGATAAAAAACACAATTTTAAGGAACACATGCAGACATGGAAGATGTTCTGACAATATTTGCATATTTATTTTGAACATTGTTAAGGTTCAAAGACACAAACACAAATGCTTGCATTAAAACAAATAAAATACACCTGACAAAGGAAACAAATAAATAAAATAAAGTGTATTATGAACTTAACACAAGTGCTGGCTGTTTAAAGCTAGTTCACATAGAATAATAAAATAAATAGATTTGAGGTCAATGTTGTGAAGAAAAAAAAAAACTCCAACTAAAACAACAAAAGTGCTTTCCTGCCAGCTAGTTCACATGGTATATAAAGGTACAGTATTTAAGGTGAAACAATGCATAGCTTGCTAGAACGTATGAAATCTTTTTAACTAATCTTTTTAAAGCGTCTGTCTGCTTTAATCAAATTTAACTGAAACTATAGTTGCCCGGCCAGTATAACATATCTAAGTTAGCATAAATTTAACTTCACATACAATTCTATCAACAAGTGGCTACGTCGCTACGTGCTAAGAAGCTAACGTAACATAGCCAGCCTGGATACTAAATGCTAAGTTAGCCATCATTAGTTAGTTTATCATTGTAACAAAATGTGTCCATATATCACGTCTCTTCTTTCTCCCGAGCCCCGTGCAAAGCATGTTTTGCTTTTAACCTGTCGCCGCCGCCTCACCGTGAATCCAGCTCCTGTCTGCTCCATGTGTTGTGTAGGCTACTCTGACTGTGCCCGCCCGCTCCAGGTTTGAACGTGGGTGTGTGTGGCGGAAGAGCTGACGAGGAGGAGGCGGCGGAGGAGGAGACAGGATTTGACAAAACAAAACCATATCATATAATAATATGTAATTTTCGTCTCGTCTTTGTTCGTGAACTAAAATGTCCATAGATTTTAGCCCAGTCTTTATTTACCGAACTGCATTTTCGTCTCGTCTTTATTAGTCTACGAAAATTATTTCTGATTTACTCCCAGTTATTGTTTATTAGTGGGGATTTTAGTCTCGTCTCGTCTAGTTTTCGTTCGGTGAAAAATGTGCGTTGACGAAAATATTTTCGTTTAGTTTTCGTTAACGAAATTAACACTACTCGGCGCACTATAATTGTTCTTCACGTGCACAGTAGCCTAACTGAAATTTAAAACTGTTAAAAGGCTTAATAAACTATTGCAAAGAAACTGTATAATACACAGTCAATATTGCTTCCTCACTAAACAGCTGTGCATCTGATTTTTACGATGTTTTTCATGAATGTATAACAACAATACAAAGAGCAATGTGTAACGTTTTACCAGAGATAGTGCTACACTTATTGTCTCTTATTTTTTCCCCACTAAGGAATGTTTTTTTCACTAAATGTTCAGATTTTATAAAATTATTGTGCACTTGTGATTTTTCTAGGCTAAGTTTTTCTGAGTTATCCACTAATCTAGTTTACAATAGCATTTTTGTCGTAGGTTATAGTCATATATTTTTTTTTTATTTGTTGTTTTTCTTTATAATGAAGTTGTCTGTATTAAGTAGATTGTTTAACACACAAAATAGTGTGGTTTTTAGGGTTCTATTTAGTTACAATAAACAAAAAAATGAAAAAAATGTTTTATCAGATTAATCGATTAATCGAAAAAATAATCGTCCAATTAATCGATTATCAAAATAATCGTTAGTTGCAGCCCTAGTCTGTAGTTCTCAAAATCCATATACTGTATATTGCTGAAATGAAAATCTATAGGTTTACCAAATGATTAATTGATTAACCATTAAGATCTGTTGGATTAAATTATAGACAAAAGTATTAAACTGAACAAAAAGAGATGCAAATCAAAAGTTTGATAGTAAGAGCTTTATGAAAGGCAGTTACTCTGAATGAAACAATAATGTAGATGAAACACTTATTTTGTGTTGTGAAAAGGATACTTTGTGATTGTGTGAATTCTACTAACAGTTGAAAACATGATGAAATGTTTGAAAAAAGTGCACTTTTGATGATCTGTTGTGATATTAGCACTAAGAGTTTTGAAAATGTACACCTTACTTGTGAAAATAGTACCAAAGCAAAAAAAAAAACTGTAATTAATTTTCTTTCTACACATTTTTTAGGAAACACTCACACACCTGTAACTAGCAACTGTAACATCCTCTTCTACACACACATCTGCACCAAACAAGGAAACCCAATCACAGGTAAGATCCTGTACACTTTTAAAGTGTTTTTTTTTTATGTCAGTTTATCACGTCAATTAGGGCAGGACAATTGGTTATTTAACAAGGCAAGTGTGCCTAGCCAATAAAATTAAATTAAGTTGAATTACATTAAATTACATTTAATGTAATTTTACAATAAAATACTGTTTAATTTACAGTTTTTGGTAGTGAAAGACATTTGTAAAATATCATGCATGTTACCATGATAGTTTTTAGTGTTAATTCAGGGATCTCCAACCTTTTGGTGACCGTGGGCTAACTCAAGGGATAAAATTTTTTACATTTACTTTACTTTTAACCTCCATTACATGCTAAAAAATAAAATCCTGGTTCGGACTTACAAGCATTTTAAATAATTTTTTTATTCAGCAATTCCTGGAAAAAAAAAATGAATATTGAAATATGTACTTTTATAATATAACTTTATTTAAAGGGACATTGTGTAGGAATTCCTCCCATCTAGCGGTGAATTTTGCAAATTGTGCTCACCAGCGCCTCGCATTTTCTAAAATTTCCGTTTCATCTACGGTAGCCATTATGTATCAAAAAGCTCTGACAGGATCTTCTAATAACACTTCGTCTAGTGTTCCTTCGAGTGAACAGGTTTGTTATTTCAAAAAAACAGCAACTTGACACAATGAACAAACGAATGTTACAGTATGAATTACTTACTGTGAAAAACATGAACTATTGTAATAAGTAGTTATGTCTTCTTTATTCGTTATATTTTCTGAAGTACATGCATTGTCAATATTGCTTCCTCACTAAACAGCTGTGCATCTGATTTTTACGATGTTTTTCATGAATGTATAACAACAATACAAAGAGCAATGTGTAACGTTTTACCAGAGTTAGTGCTACACTTATTGTCTCTTATTTTTTCCCCACTAAGGAATGTTTTTTTCACTAAATGTTCAGATTTTATAAAATTATTGTGCACTTGTGCTTTTTCTAGGCTAAGTTTTTCTGAGTTATCCACTAATCTAGTTTACAATAGCATTTTTGTCGTAGGTTATAGTCATATATTTATTTTTTGTTGTTGTTTTTCTTTATAATGAAGTTGTCTGTATTAAGTAGATTGTTTAACACACAAAATAGTGTGGTTTTTAGGGTTTTAGGGTTTTATTTAGTTATAATAAACAAAAAAATTAAATAAATTTTTTATCAGATTAATCGATTAATCGAAAAAATAATCGTCCAATTAATCGATTATCAAAATAATCGTTAGTTGCAGCCCTAGTCTGTAGTTCTCAAAATCCATATACTGTATATTGCTGAAATGAAAATCTATAGGTTTACCAAATGATTAATTGATTAACCTTTAAGATCTGTTGGATTAAATTATAGACAAAAGTATTAAACTGAACAAAAAGAGATGCAAATCAAAAGTTTGATAGTAAGAGCTTTATGAAAGGCAGTTACTCTGAATGAAACAATAATGTAGATGAAACACTTATTTTGTGTTGTGAAAAGGATACTTTGTGATTGTGTGAATTCTACTAACAGTTGAAAACATGATGAAATGTTTGAAAAAAGTGCACTTTTGATGATCTGTTGTGATATTAGCACTAAGAGTTTTGAAAATGTACACCTTACTTGTGAAAATAGTACCAAAGCAAAAAAAAAAACTGTAATTAATTTTCTTTCTACACATTTTTTAGGAAACACTCACACACCTGTAACTAGCAACTGTAACATCCTCTTCTACATGCACATCTGCACCGAACGAGGAAACCCAAGCAGAGGTAAGATCCTGTACACTTTTAAAGTGTTTTTTTTTTTTTTATGTCAGTTTATCACGTCAATTAGGGCAGGACAATTGGTTATTTAACAAGGCAAGTGTGCCTAGCCAATAAAATTAAATTAAGTTGAATTACATTAAATTACATTTAATGTAATTTTACAATAAAATACTGTTTAATTTACAGTTTTTGGTAGTGAAAGACATTTGTAAAATATCATGCATGTTACCATGATAGTTTTTAGTGTTAATTCAGGGATCTCCAACCTTTTGGTGACCGTGGGCTAACTCAAGGGATACAATTTTTTACATTTACTTTACTTTTAACCTCCATTACATGCTAAAAAATAAAATCCTGGTTCGGACTTACAAGCATTTTAAATAATTTTTTTATTCGGCAATTCCTGGAAAAAAAATATGAATATATATTGAAATATGTACTTTTATAATATAACTTTATTTAAAGGGACATTGTGTAGGAATTTCTCCCATCTAGCGGTGAATTTTGCAAATTGTGCTCACCAGCGCCTCGCATTTTCTAAAATTTTCGTTTCATCTACGGTAGCCATGTATCAAAAAGCTCTGACCGGATCTTCTAATAACACTTCGTCTAGTGTTCCTTCGAGTGAACAGGTTTGTTATTTCAAAAAAACAGCAACTTGACACAATGAACAAACGAATGTTACAGTATGAATTACTAACTGTGAAAAACATGAACTATTGTAATAAGTAGTTATGCCTTCTTTATTCGTTATATTTTCTGAAGTACATGCATTGTTAGATATCATCATCAACTTTTAACTAAATGTTCATCTGTCTATAAAATAAAGTACACAACCAAACAATGAAAAAAAAGCTTGTAATTAAGACTGTAACATTGCCTTTCCTGTCGAGAAGAAAAGTCTACTCTTTCTCCTGCATTAGCTCTATCCACCTGGACAAAGCTCTATCCTCCGGTCACGTTTCCTTTAACGATCTATTTTGGACTTTTCTGGCGAACAAGGATTTTCAATGCAGCTTTTAACTAGCGATTTATTTTTACTTATTATACTAGCGTTATAATCTAAACAGTTTTTAGAGATGTACTCCAGCTCGTTATATAAACTCTTTACATTCGATTATCATGAAATCAAATCTCAGAGAACGGTTGACTAGGTACCCATGTGTTATTACACCAAAGCTATTACACTTTGCGCTGGAGTTCTCCTTTAAAATCATCACAATGTTTCACTCTTCAGGAACTTAAACAGCCAACGAACGTTAATCTACTATCTTTGGTCAGACATGTAAATGACATCAGGCTACAAAACACAATCTCTCTTTTGTGTTTTATTCCTCTGTTGTTCTTTTATTACTTTCACTTTTGTCTCTGATGAGTATTTAATGCAGATGTTTTATTCCTTTTGATTCATACAGCTACAGTATGATTTGATAATTATGTTGAATTGTGTGTTGTCGTGGTCTCTTGAGGTTGTCCGAGAATCCCTTCTGTTGATCTTAAGGAGACATGTAAAAAAGCGACATATGACAATGATACATGCAGAGGTAAGCCTTAAGATTTATAATATACTTTTCTATTAGTTGTTTCATTTGCTATATGTTATTCCTCAAACTCAGCAGAATATAAAGTGAAATTACACTAAAGAATGTAATACAGTGAGTTAATACATCTACATTCTACACGTAATATGTACTCCAGCTAAGTTTTACTTGAAGTGTATTAAAATGATTTTGGTCCAGCATGTTCTCGCTTACTCTACGCTTAAAATCTCACATTATTTCTCTTCTCCTTGACCATAAAGCAAATAGAATAGGTGTACTTATAATTCTCAGTTCCAAGTCATCTTAACTGTAGGGACTCATTATTCATCAAAGAGGATGCATTTTTTTAATACATTCTCTTAACCCAATTTGTTGTTTGATTAAATGTATTAGTTTGCAATTCATGGGTTTATCTTACCTCCAAGTTACCACCCCATAAAACAAATTAACTCCCCAAACTATTTGTTTGTGGTACGATAGAGCTTATTTGTACTGCAAAAATTAACATCTGTGCTGGTTTGGTGTTGAAATGTGGTTTGGTGTTTTACTCCTGTGTCAAATGTACTTTTTAGTTATCATATGAAGAGTTCAGATGCAAAAGCCTCTAAATGCCATTTGAAATTTTCTTCTTTAATGATGATTTTTATCAAACTTGTATATTTAAGTTCAGTAATTTCACTTAAATGGCAATGATAATTACCTATTAATTGTTATTTAAGTGAAATTACTGAACTTAAATATACAAGTTTGATAAAAATCATCATTAAAGATGAAAATTTCAAATGGCATTTAGAGGCTTTTGCATCTGAACTCTTCATATTTAGTCAACCTTGTCCTGTTTTTGTCTAGTCAAGTTTTAGCCAACTAAATGGGAGTATTTTAGTCTAGTTTTAGTCAATGAAAAAAAAAAACATTTCCATCATGCTGCATAATAGTTTTATTTAGTTAATTATTTTGCTCAAAATTACAATCAATTATAATAAAGAGATTTTTTTTCTCATTAAAAATGTCATTTTTCAACATTATTGCCCTTTCACCTATTAGCACAAATCAAGAGAATGTTATTATGAGGGTTATTTTACATCATCTCACAGGACAAGGCTTAAGTGTAGTCTCAGACTAAAACCCAGGTTTGAGCTGTTTTAACCAGAAGCATATCTCAAAAAAGCATCAGTGCCATTGTTTTGTCAAGATGTAATCAGTTGTTTTTTCAGCAATGTTTTTTTTTTCTAAAGCATGTTTGTAAAAGCTGCTTAAATATCCTAATTGAACTTTAATGCCTAATCCTATCTTAATCTAAGACCTGTCTGTGAAACCAGACCCTAGTAGTTTCCTGATTTATTATAGGATATGTATCATATAAGCATACCGGTTGATTAAAACAGCGGAATTCCTAAATCATTAAATACATTAATGTACATTAACATAAACAACATAAAAAAAAGGGTTGTATTGGCACACATGAGTGCAGCAGGCATAATGATATGACGCAGTGCCTAAAATAGTCCCCGGCTTGTCACGTTGGTTATGTTGACGGAAGGAAGCCTATTTTCAGGCGCTGCACTCATGGTACGGCAGTAAAGTGTATCGATTGTTACGCAGGAATGAGAGTACAGTTCCTAGCCATATCAGCCTAGAAAATCACAACTTTACATTTTCCGTCGGTCTAAGTGCACGATGTAACTAACTCTTAAAGAAGAGTCAAGTTTTAAATAGGCAAAATATAGAAACACTTTGGTCTTTTTCTTTGAGAAATGCTAATGGTCTTGTCCACTTCAATGATGTATGCTAAGCTATGCTAAAAGTGGTACCGTCAGAACCGGAGATCGGCTGAATGGATTCAAAAACGGTTTAACTCTGGGGGAGTTGTAAAATGAGCCTATTTCCAAAAAAAGTGGAACACCACTTTAAACTACGTATATTTTCGTCAATGATATTGCATGTTGATATAGTCATTATGACTATCAACATTTACTTTAATCTTTGACATTAAGTTGCACAAATATATGAATAAAAGTCATTCCCTATTTATTTCTGTGCTAAAGACAATGAAGGAAGCAAATACATTCTGCGTTCACACAGTAATGTATGGACGTGTGTGAAATGCAATCAGGCACCTAAATGTAGCTCAGCGAACAAGACTGCCTGTGTCAAACCAACCGAGACAAAGTACAATCTGACTTCAGATGGTCTAAAAAACAAGGATGGATCTATTAATCCCTCAAATGCATCGTAAGTGTGTGGATACAAGCGACTTTTAAAATTAAAACTGTATTACAGAATACAGAGTGATCAAGCCTGTTTTGCAGAGTTGCCTTGGACAATCTAAAGTCCCTGGCGGATCAGATGAAAAAAGACAATAAAAGCAGTGCGGCGATTGTGATGGGGGATGTTGATGGTATCCTCCAAATTCAAGATGAGAACACAGAAACTGAAGACGCATGCTTCTCTACAGATCAGAAAACGATGGATGTAAGGGATGTGAAGCAGAAACACATGCCCATGGGAAGAACTCTTTATTTATCAATGATAATTCTTCTTTTCACAGATTGTTGACTGTGAAAGTGACCTGGACTTTCCCTGGTCTGTAACGATTCCCAGCGAGGCCTTTGATAAATCAAAACAGGAATTTAATGGCAGTGCATTTGTTGGAGTTTTAAGGTTCAAAAACATGGAAAATATGGTAATTCTGTTTTAAAAAGCATGTTTTTGAATGATTTGTGATCTATGTTATTCACAAACGTTTATAGTTGATTAATGATTACTCTTTTATGGCTTCTTATTTAGAATGAAACTAAAAATTACATTGTTTTGAACAACGAGGTTTATGGGATAATAATGAGCACCGAAATCTCCAACCTTACAGACAATATAGAAATGGTCTTTACGCAGAAAGATCTGGTAACGAAGGTTTAATGTCTTATTTAAAATCTTATTTAAGACCAGAAACAGTAAAAGCAAAATAATAACCAAACATGTTCTTGCAGGTCGGTGAGGCGTCCTGCAGTTCTTGGGATGGCAAAGGTAAATTCACTTATGGCTGCATTGGTTAGTTTGCTTGGTTCCATAAATATGGTAATATTGTTATTCAAAACCACTCTTATGTCAGAACCATGCATAATTCGTAACTTCTGAAAACGGTCGTGGTCACTGTGTGCTGCTTTAAGCTTTTCCACGACACAGAAAACACTGATGGAATAACGGAATACAATCATAAAAATTGAACTGACTGTATAAATGTGGGATTGTTACAGAATTTGACAAATTTGTTATCAAATTCAAATTGGGAGATGGACTAGTGTCTGCGTATTAATCCGTAAAAAGCTGCTATTTCAATCCAGAGATGCTCTGAGATTCACTTCATGAGCATTTCACGGTTTCATTTGACAAAACTATCATAGATACATAGAGAAACTCAAAGGCCTTTACGACAACCTGCCAAAATAAAAGTCTGGCTTAACTTGAAGATGTTATGACTAGGGCTGCACGATATAGCGTTTTAACATCGTTATTGCGATGTGCGCATCCACAACAGTCACATTACAGGATGTGCAATGTCAAGTAGCCTATATAACTTTACACTAAGTAATTCCACATCAAAAGCTAAAATTACTCCCAGACAGCAATGCCATAGAGATATGTCTGTAAAAGCGGAAGTTCAAAAATAATATTCTAAAGATGGCAGCACTTGTTTCTCTAGTGCATAAGTCTATAGGGATCCAAGTTGATCCGTGATCCGCACAAGCTACCCACTGGTTCCGAATGAATTTGAACTATCATAGTAATATGAATGATGATACAATTTAAAATGTTTAAAAAAAATATGACCAAGACTTTTGTATACAGTTAACCTATGGTGCGACTCTTTGTTTGATTAAAAAAAAAAGTTTTCTTTAATGAGAATAATATCATATGTACGGCCCCATCCCCAGGTAGAAATTCATGCAAAGGTAAGAAAGGTTGTGTGTTGATTTTTATTCAGAAAAATATATTAGATTTGCAAAAAATATATGGTTCTGTTTGACAGTAAGTAATAAAAACAAAACGGATTCAGTATTGTGCATAGTTTTTAATCCAAAATGTTAAGAGAAAAAATAAAGTTAATGGAATTGGAACCGGAATCATTAGGCAGAATCGAAACTGGAAAATGTCTTATGATTCCCAACCCTACCCAATTAACAAACCCAATTTATTTCATATTTAAAATGATGGTCTCTTTCTTAAGGAAATCTTACATGGACGACGTCCGGCTGTGAGACAGAAAAAATAGACAATAACACCATACAGTGCTCGTGTTCACATCTGACGTTCTTTGCAGTGCTGATGGTGAGAAGCTTCTCTGACAATCATTTAAAGACACCATGAAATCAATATCAGAGTCTTTTAGCTACAGAACTTGACTAAGGGAACTTAACAGATATGCACTAAAACGTAAAGATCTGAAAAGGGCTGTCAGGATTACTCAATTAAATTAGAGTACTTGATTTTAAAAAAATCCCCCATTGCAATTTACCTGTGTTGAGTACCTTTCAAAATACCAGAAGTGCCACATCCACTGATGAGAATCCATGAACCGCATTATTACACTGTTTTCTAAGGCTGCACGATATATTAAAACACTTTAAAAATACTAGGGATGTTAATTAATCAACGATCGATTATTTGTCGATAAAATATTTTGTTGTTTAAGCAATTATTGTATCTTAATAATCACTAAACTGTGAACTGGTGACACCGACTATCACATCAAGCCTTGAACTTGAACTTTGTGCACTAATTTGATCAGATTTGTAAGGTAAATCATTTATAAACATACGCCAATGCAAGAGAACATTTCAATATGTTTCTAAATATGCAAACGGTTCATTGCAATTTCAAAATAAAATGTTAAACCCTCGCTCAGAGTTTGCATGTTTTGATGTCGACATATTCATGTTTAATAAATTACAGTGGTTGTAGCATTGAAGCATTTCACCTGAGATGTGTCTCTCTGTAGACAAGGGCGTTGTTAGCTGGTACCCTACCCTCTGACATCACAGGGTACCACAACTTCCAATAGAGATATAACTGCAGTAGCCACTGTTCAACCTGAAGAGGGCAGCACTCAGATGTTTTCACACCATATATTGTAGAATAAAAACACTTTATGCCCAAATGTCAAAACAATTACTTGAATCAATGAACAGCATTGTAAAGCGCCAGTCTTACAGATCAGAAACTTAAAAAAAGTTGTTTTAAGGTTTAGTTACCCTTTAAGTTTATTTTACCCTTTGTTTTTGTTAACACAAAAAATATCAGATTATTAAATTGTCAAAATAATTAAATGATTATGCAATTACGAAAATAATCATTAGTGACAGCCCTAGATCTGATTCTTGCTAATAGTGTTTTAAAAGGGTTGTTTTCTCTGCTCAGTCTCCTCCAGATGTAAATCAAAACATCACAGCTCCGTATGTGGAATCATTGAGCTTCATCACTTCTATCGGCTGTGGCATCTCCATGTTTTTCCTGTCCGTCGCTCTGTTCATGCATTTCCTATTACGGTAGAGTGTCTTAAAATATGACATACAGCTACTTTAAGTTCTTTGACCAATCACTTTTGCTCCTCTTTTGGATAAAAAGCATAAATGCATGTTACCAATACAGTGTTTTTATATTCGAACAGGAAAGCCAAATCAAACCAGGCCACAAAGATCTTGATAAACATGTTTGTGGCTTTGTTTCTCCTGAATCTATCCTTTTTGTCAAACGAGAGCGTGGCCAACACAGAAGACAAGGCTGCATGTGTCTTCATAGCGCTGCTCATGCATTACTCAATGCTGGCTACATTCACCTGGTTCTTCATTCAAGCTCTTCATATGTACTTATGGCTCATCAGACAGAACATCACCATCACAAACTACATGACGAAGGTCACCGTGCTCGGCTGGAGTGAGTTATATCCTTTTAAAACGAACACCAGCAAGTCAGACTGTAGACTCAACTCCTGTCATGATACTTTTATTATGTTTTTGACTTTTACTTGAGCAGCTTGTCTTCAGTACTTGGTAGGCTATTTTAGAGTGAATTTTAGTAATTTGATTACATTAAGTTAAATTAAATTAAGAGAAATGTTCAGTGGCAACTAGCTGAAATAATGCTTTTTTTATATATATTATTTTCCGTTAAAGTTTATTTTATTTCAAATAATATAATTTTTTTATGGTTTTGGTTTCAGTGAACTATAATACCCCTGATTTCTGTGTTTTTAGTATTTCCGGCTCCAATGGTCATAGCTGTTGTTTCAATAGGAGGATATAGTACACGGATCATAAACGCAACATCTGGAAAAACATTCCGAATGTAAGTTGTTCTGTTGTTGCAAATATATTAATTAATGATGCTTGCGAAGTGCCCCAATTAGGAACTTTAAAGGTTCATAATTTTGTTTTCGGAGTCACCGACAACAGGTTGACTGCTCGGCCACTACTCGGCATCTCGCGGTCTCGGCCACTGCTCGGCATCTCGCGGTCTCGGCCACTGCTCGGCATCTCGCGGTCTCGGCCACTGCTCGGCATCTCGCGGTCTCGGCCACTGCTCGGCATCTCGCGGCCTCGGCCACTGCTCGGCCACTGCTCGGCCACTCTCGGCCACTGCTCGGCATCTCGCGGTCTCGGCCACTGCTCGGCATCTCGCGGTCTCGGCCACTGCTCCGCATCTCGCGGTCTCGGCCACTGCTCGGCGTCTCGGCCACTGCTCGGCATCTCGCGGTCTCGGCCACTGCTCGGCATCTCGCGGTCTCGGCCACTGCTCGGCATCTCGCGGTCTCGGCCACTGCTCGGCATCTCGCGGCCTCGGCCACTGCTCGGCCACTGCTCGGCCACTCTCGGCCACTGCTCGGCATCTCGCGGTCTCGGCCACTGCTCGGCATCTCGCGGTCTCGGCCACTGCTCGGCATCTCGCGGTCTCGGCCACTGCTCGGCATCTCGCGGTCTCGGCCACTGCTCGGCATCTCGCGGTCTCGGCCACTGCTCGGCATCTCGCGGTCTCGGCCACTGCTCCGCATCTCGCGGTCTCGGCCACTGCTCGGCATCTCGCGGTCTCGGCCACTGCTCGGCATCTCGCGGTCTCGGCCACTGCTCGGCATCTCGCGGTCTCGGCCACTGCTCGGCCACTCTCGGCCACTGCTCCGCATCTCGCGGTCTCGGCCACTGCTCGCCATCTCGCGGTCTCGGCCACTGCTCCGCATCTCGCGGTCTCGGCCACTGCTCGGCATCTCGCGGTCTCGGCCACTGCTCGGCATCTCGCGGTCTCGGCCACTGCTCGGCATCTCGCGGTCTCGGCCACTGCTCGCCATCTCGCGGTCTCGGCCACTGCTCCGCATCTCGCGGTCTCGGCCACTGCTCGGCGTCTCGGCCACTGCTCGGCATCTCGCGGTCTCGGCCACTGCTCGGCATCTCGCGGTCTCGGCCACTGCTCGGCATCTCGCGGTCTCGGCCACTGCTCGGCATCTCGCGGTCTCGGCCACTGCTCGGCATCTCGCGGTCTCGGCCACTGCTCGGCATCTCGCGGTCTCGGCCACTGCTCGGCATCTCGCGGTCTCGGCCACTGCTCGGCATCTCGCGGTCTCGGCCACTGCTCGGCATCTCGCGGTCTCGGCCACTGCTCGGCATCTCGCGGTCTCGGCCACTGCTCGGCATCTCGCGGTCTCGGCCACTGCTCGGCATCTCGCGGTCTCGGCCACTGCTCGGCATCTCGCGGTCTCGGCCACTGCTTGGCCACTCTCGGCCACTGCTCCGCATCTCCCGGTCTCGGCCACTGCTCGGCATCTCGCGGTCTCGGCCACTGCTCGGCATCTCGCGGTCTCGGCCACTGCTCGGCATCTCGCGGTCTCGGCCACTGCTCGGCATCTCGCGGTCTCGGCCACTGCTCGGCATCTCGCGGTCTCGGCCACTGCTTGGCCACTCTCGGCCACTGCTCCGCATCTCGCGGTCTCGGCCACTGCTCCGCATCTCGCGGTCTCGGCCACTGCTCCGCATCTCGCGGTCTCGGCCACTGCTCCGCATCTCGCGGTCTCGGCCACTGCTCGGCCACTCTCGGCCACTGCTCGGCATCTCGCGGTCTCGGCCACTGGAGGACCGTGGCTGGACGTTCATGTGCCAGGATTGACTTGTTTAACTTGTTTAAAGTTAAGTTCATAGTTTTTTTTTTGTTTCATGTCTAGAGTTGTTGGTTTTGGATCTTCATTATTGTAAATACACTTCACTTGGGGTCTTTTTGGCATTGTCTTCCTCTTACTCCACGACCATGTCAGCTACATTACACACACTACATGAACATAATAACTGAAAAAACATAATTAGATGTCTTCTAATTGTCTTTGTTATATTTCACTCTCTTATAATTACAGGTGCTGGATTACAGATCTTTTAATTCACTACGTAGTGAACATTGGCTACTACATCTTAGTCTTCATCTTCACGACAGGAATCTTCATCACTATCGTTACCAGAGTTGTCCAATCCCGACGCATAAGAGCGACTGATGGCAAGAGAAGCACGTTCAGAAAGCAGCTGATGATGGTGTTGAGTTTGTTCCTGCTCTTCGGCCTGACGTGGGCTGTGGCGTTCTTCAGTTATGGACCGATGCTCATCCCCTCATACTACATCTTCACCGTGTTGAACTCGTTTCAGGGTGAGAAACAATGACATACATTACATTTGGTTTGATGGATTGCTTCTATTTTTCCAACAAATTTCAGCAAATTATTTGAATTCATTCATTATTGATTTTTATTTATTCATGTATACATATTTTTTTAAATATATAATTAATTATAAGTGTTCATAATGGAATTTTGATTGCAGTTTTAATATCACATACATAATATAAAATATATTTAGCGAGGTAGAATTAGTAGAAATAATTTTCAGATTTTTTTTTTCAGGGTTTTTCCTCTTCCTGTATTACTACCACATTCACAAAGACATAGAAGGTAATTTCTCTGATGATCCAGAAAGGTCGAACTCCACCACAACTATCGTTCAATCCAGAACTAATTAATACAGAAGCCCATGTTGTCTCTTGGACAGCTGATAGTTCAAAAGTAAAAGGTCAGCATACTAGTCATGTTTAATAATAATCTGTGTCTAATACGTATGTTGTACGGTGAGGGGATTCAACAACTCATAATGGGATCATAAGTGGGATCATTAGCTTTTTAAGACATTTGCTATTTTACAAGTTGCATTTTTTCTCGTATTGTAAATTCAGGGTAACTGTAACACTAGTTATGAAAATGTATCGTTTGCCTGACTTTTGAATGTTTCAATTGTGCAATGATTATTATTTTATTCATTTTTTTATGTAGTTGTAAAAATGTTAGGTAAAAAGGACTTTGTTTCAAATAATTGTAATGCAGGTTTCATCTAGACATTTGCTTTAAGCCATATTTCTGAAAAAATTATATTGTTTCTTTTATACAGTGCATTAACATTATAATATTTTATCTTGCCTCCATAACGGCATGAATTTGTGCATTATATTCAATATTTTTGATTTAGTTTTATAAATAAATCAGTAGTAGGCAACTATATGCTTATTGCAGGTTTGTTTTCAGTAATTATGTATTTTAAACGCATGTATGATAGTGATATAAGTTTGTGTAACACTAGAGGGCGCTGTGAGATTGTGCAGTGTAACTCATAGTGTCTGAGGTTGGAGTTGAAGATGTTAATGAGATCATCTATAATCGACTCACTGTGACATGTATTTGCAATTACAGCCAACCTATTGACTCAATACTTGTGATTCACAGTAACTAATAAACTTCCTCTATCCAGTTGAACGAGTTGAGCCTTCCACCTGGTAATTTCAGATTTATTGCATTTAATTTTGTGAATGTTTTTTATGTTCCAGAAGGAACTCAAACTTGTCATTTATGACACTTCCAGTCAAACTTATGCTACTAATAAATGCAATTATTTTTAACTGTATTCATCAAAGAATCCTGAAATAAATATGCATTATATTTTCCACAAAAATACAAAGCAGCATAACTGTTTTTAACATTGATAATAACCATAAATCATCATATTAGAGTGATTTCTGAAGGATCATGTGACACTGAAGACTGGAGTAATGATGATGAAAATTCAGCTTTAAATCACGAGAATACATTTCCTCAATTAAAATCACTTCTCTGGGTTGGTGGTAGGGCTGCTTGAATATGAAAAAAAAAAATCATAATCACGATTATTGTTGGTCAATTTTAAAATCATGATTATTTAACATGATTATTTGAGGGCAAAATGATCTTAATTCACAATATCTTAATTCAATTTTTTAGTCAATTTTTTCATTTTCAGTCCAACTTTTTTTTTAGTCTAAGGGGAGGGTCACCCAACTTTTGTATTCATGAAAACAGAAACATTTCAAAGTGGCTTGTTTGGTGCATATTTTTCCACGTAGCTCAATGTAGCTCTCTCGGTCTCTGCCCCCCATCGCTAACAAAAATCAGACGCAAAAGATCCAGTTTGGCGCTGTTTGACATGTAATGTGATTTTGATATTTTGCGGTTTCATCATGCAGAAGCCAAACTGTGTTCAAAGATCACCAACTCCATTTCTGCAAAAACTTCAGGTGAGTTTGAACTCCGATTAAGATTTGTCAGACAAACTTTGTAGCTCTTACTTCAAAGAAATTTGCAGAAATTAATAAATGGTAGTCAGGGTTTTGATTCTATTTGGAAATTTAAACAACAACTTGACTGTCTACAAACAAAGAAAGAAAAGGTTTTAGCCTTGCATTGCTTACGGTGATGAATTATGCGTTGGGGATTATTTCCTTGGACAAGTGTGACTAAAGATAAACAGAAAACCCCTTCGAATATGTTGAGTGGTTTTCTGTACAGCTTATCAAACTTAATGTTCTGCCTATGATAATGATGAAGATTATGATTTGGCTATTGTGACTGAATCCGCCTCTGGTGGACAGAGAAATGTTATCAGTCTGTTTATATTCCTGGTTGGGACCAAAAGATATATCCAGTTATATTTTACATTTGATTCCTTTATGTTAGACCTACCCAATTCATCATCACATTTCATATTAAAGAAGTGGACTGTTTTTGATTTTGCATACCTTCTGACAAAAAAAGAAAGTGTCACAGATTTTTATCATAATTAATTATATAATATTTTACAATGAATCCTTGGACTTTTCTAATGATTTATAGGCTGCCTGCAGTTTTCCATAAAATAAACATATAATTAGGCTATTATTTTCTTATTGTTATAATTATTTTTTAAATAGTTTTTGTTTAATATTTTCATTTAGTGAAAATAATAATATTAATAATAATTAGACATTAATATATATATTTTTTTTTAAAAGCATGCCAGAGAGACAAACTTTTCTCAACCTCTTTTAGAAACCAATTTTCATCTTCAGGATGAAACTAAAGGCACACAAATATTTTTATGATCACACGCACGGATGTGGAACATATTTGGTTATTGAGAATGCAAGTCACGCAAACAGTCAAAATCAGCTAATGACTTTGGCTTTATTTTATGTGGTTTTAACGTGTTATATCTCTGAGAGCCTCTCATGTGATTGTAAAGAAGAGAATACAATTTCTTCATCAGGATGGTCTTTCAGTAGCTCCAAAAACATTTATTCAAATTAGTCAAACGTGTAAATATGTGAATATCATTAAATAGGGGACAAAATATCACACCATTTACTGAAAGGAAAGAAAGTCACAAACTTTATAAACAACATTTACATTTTTTTCTGTTAAAACAACCTTTTCTGTGAGAGTCTGAATGTAACTATAGCAAAATAATTTAAATAAAAAGTAAATTAATACTGAAATTTACCATGAAAGCCCAAAATAGCATGATTTGCATGTTTGCAAATGACCAAATGTCATTGTTCCAGTGGCTCTGAGCCGAGGATCATAATCCCACGGCTTCATTTGTGAACAGATAAAAGTCTCTCTCCTCTTGGACTGTGGACTTTACATCTCAATAAAATAAGAAAATCTTTTAAGATTTATTACTAATATCTGTAGAAAAGAAAACTCGTCTCTTGTGTCTTTCTCAGGCTGTTTTGGGGAATTATGTCTGGGGAAAAGCTGAATCTGCTGTGGCTGATGATCGTCTGTTGTGCTTCAAGCCAGATAAGTATGTTGATCTCAGTGGTGGACACTAACAAAGTATTTTTAGATTGTTACTGTACTAAAGTATATTCTTCAAGTATTTGTACTTCATCTGAGTACACTCTAAAAAATGCTGGATTGTTTCAACCCAAATTTGGCTCAAAATGACAAGTTTTGGTAATAAAATAGCATCTTACTTGCAGATCAATACATATTAAGTGTCTGCATAATCTTCCTTACTGACAAGTGCTGGCTACTTGATAATTCATAATGTGAAAAATTTCAGAAATTCAGAAAAAAAAATCAGAATCGTCTGACAATAAAGTATTAAGTAAAGTAAAATAATGATTCATAATGATGTCCGACTGAACTGTAATCTATTTAAGCTCTGTGTGTCTAGCTCATTATACACCCCACACCCTCCAACACACAAGTTGAGCAGTAGGATGTTTATAAAATTGAAACATCAGAGCATTGAAAACATTCACCCACCAGTACTTTTTACTTTTAATATTTAAGTACATTAAAATCAAATACTTGAGTACTTCAACTTAAGTAAAATTGAAAAGGAATACTAATATTTGAGTATGAGTATTAAAATGAGTATTCTTCTATTAGAGTATCTGTACATTTACTCAAGCACTTGTTAAACTTCTTCACCACTGGTTGCTTTACAAAATCCATTTATCAACTTAAAGATTTGATAATACCAATGCATATGCTGTGTGATGCACATTAGAAAACAAATGAAACTAACATGAAAAAAAGAAAATAGCATGATTAAAAAAATATTGTAACAGTTGGCATTTAAATTGACATCTAAACTGATATAGTGTTATACATTGTTACATAATGATAATAGCATTATAAATGTTGTCTTTACGCAGCCTGCCCAAGAAAACTGAAACTTCAAGTCTTGACAGAAGGATGTTCCGGGGCCCAAATTAGTGAACCAGAAAATCAAGGTAGATGTTAAATATACTGCTAACACGACTGTGTGAATATTGCATATTTGTTGTCTGAAAGCACTTGTGTAGACTGGCAAACTCATTGAGGTAATTTCTGTTTTGTTTTGTTTTTCAGCTAAAAAATTGACATTTGAATTTGAAGATGATAATAATTGGCATGTAATGAAGGTTAAACTAAACATCTCTTCCCTGGGTAAAACCTCTATATATTTTTATCTATAAACTGTTCGAGTTCAACACTTCTTTAAATGTATTTTTTCCACAAATGTAAGATGTTGTCTGTGGTTTCAGGACAGTGCAAAACATACAGTTTCAACTTAAATCGAGAGGATCAAAATTTAGGCAAAATGAATGAGATTGAAGACGCAGGTGAGACATTTTTGTTGGATGATAATAATGATGGATGTCATCATCCAGCCGGTGAGTGTCATCCTACAATAGATGCAGTGCTAGTGTTGAAGGTTGTGGTTTTGAATGATTTACCCCACCCTACACACAACACAAAATACATTTTATGTAATTACACACACCAACAAAATTTGCATGAATCGAGCGCCTGATGCGCGAATGATTTAGTGCTTTTTGTGCATGACACGAATTCGCACCTGCCGCCCGGTTCACGCTAAACCGGCCGTGTTGAAGTAGGCGTTGATCTTCTTCTGCGGGGGTGGGGTTTTAACCCCTTCGACGTCATAGTTCCCCACTTTTAAAAAAAGAGTAGATTGCTGGGGCTGGTGTCAATAAAAGCTTTTATTGGACTAACAAGGACGTTTTCAGTTCTGAAACTTACAGGATATTCTTAAAATATGATGACCTTTTAGATATCAAAAGCTCAAGGAAAATTTGATTTCTCAGTTCTCATCACCCCTTTAATACTAAGCCTAACAATTGTACTTGCAATCATTTTGTAAATTTAATTGTTAGGCTTAGTGCTAATTCAATTTGATAATTCGGACCTGGATTTGATAATTATGTTCAATTGTGTCATGGTCTCTTGAGATTGTTCGGATATCCCTCCTGTTAATCCTGAAGAGAGATGTAGAAACGCTCCATACGATGATCAGACGTGCAGCGGTAAGTCTGTGTCTTGAAAATTATAAACTGCTTTTCAGTTTCACACCCAAAGTTTGATTTCAAAATCAAAATAAATATAGTATATATGAAACATGTAAACTGACAGCATGTTTCTTCTGTGAACGTTTTTTTACAATTGTGTCAAAATTGTGTAATATTATGTGAACTATGATGAAACTATGCTGAAACTATGACGTTTAAAGATTTATAAATAAGCAACAAATATATGAATCACTTTAATATTTAAGATTCAATTATTGTACAATTAAATTAAATCTATCCCTTACTTATTTCTGTGTAGAAGAGGAGAACAGAAGCACATACATCATGTATTTAAACAACACTCAATGGACATGTGTGACCTGCAAAAACAGTGGAACCAATCACTGTTCTGAAGATAATGAAATCAACTCTGAGGAATATGTTTTTGAGCAACATGACATTAACATAAATATACCTCAAGTTGGCTTAGAGGACGAGGATGGAGATGTTGATTCCTCAAAAGCATCGTAAGTGTGCATTTGCCAGTGACTTTAAGTAACTGGCTGTCAACGAATATTATTATAAATTAGAATATATATCCGAATAGTTTTCAACATCAGAATGTGAAAGCGAAGGTGAAAATTAATATTCAAACGTGGAAAAACCATAGACTGTAAAAGGGGAAAACACGTCGGCATAGATCGAGGCACGGCTGGCTGTCAACAAATAAATAAAACTATAATAATAATACAATTCTTTGAAAATTAAGTGATTTTTAACTGCAAAAAGTGAAGAGCTCTGTCCTAGGTCAAGTAACAGTCACAATCGCGCACCTGACCACACCACACGCTGCAAAAAATATTACTGCTATCTGCCACATAATGAAAAATCCCAACAAAAGCTCTCGTTTATACAGGCTTTATATTCTACTTTAAGCTATGGGTTAACTTTCGTCCTGACGGCGAACGCCTCAAGGCGTTTTAAAACAACACACAAAAAACCCAAACAGACTAAAAACAATGCTAATAATAGGCTGTAGGACCGCGTATAGGTTTATTTTCATTTTGTTGCATTATTTAGGCTATTTTTGAATGCGTCAAGTGTACAAATAAAAAGGAAAACATTAAGAAAACACAATCTATTGAGTCGGCATGATATAGCCGTTAAAAGGCTGCTCACGTCTTTTGCGCGCTCAAGTTTGATTTCAAATGTAGGCGCGCGACTTGCGCGCTCATAATGGAGCAACGCGATCGCCTCCCTCCACAGTCTTGTCGTCTTTGTTTTAAAATGCAGCCAGACAAAAGATTTATATTTCCTGGACATTTTGTCGACTAAAACCAAAACAAGCAGCGCTCTAACTGAATGAATACAGCATCCCGCAGCAGCGCAGCCGGCCACAGGTGCGGTTCCCGAGTGTATTATGTGTGTGCGCTAAACTGTGGCGCAGTTACAAAAATAGCCTAAATTAAATCATTTTAAAGTTGGGGACAAAACATAGGCTAATTATATTTAGAATACAGTAATAAATAACTGCTTATAAAGGAATAAATATCAAGGAGTAAATCATTGAAAAATTCTTCTATAGACGAATCTGGCGAAACTACCGGAAGTAAGCGGGCGCCATTACTGAGCTGTTGCTGGGTAGCGTTGCGCCATTGCCTTCTATTGTTTTAGTTGCAACTTGCGTCCACTGGAATAAACAGCTCGCGATTTACGACTGTCACTAACGTTACAACGTTAGCCCTTGTATAATGTCGAGTGGGTAAACAGTTTCCGTTATAAATTGTTTTAATGGTGGCAGTAAAATTTCAATTTTGAAGAGAAAACACTGTGAATACTCCGGTCGACTGCCCCTGTCTGGTGCCGTACGGTTTACACAGATTTCCTGGGCGAGTACAAGACGCGGACATTCGCGTATAATAACAATTATTTAATGACATAAGTAAAAAAATATAATAAATATGTGATATAGTGATCAGCAAAATCTCCTCTCTTGTTATTTTTTCTATTCAATTTACATGCTATGGTCATTAAATGGCTTTCCTGAGCTGAATGTAACGTTATGTGACATAATTGTTCTCCCGCTGTTATATTGACCTCTTTCCATGGTTTAAAAACAGTAGTTGGTCGATATTATGTATACTTTCTAGCTATAACGTTACCTTACCCATGCCCGTTGCAATGTAAAAATGAGATAAATAATGGACACAAATGAAAAACATGAAATTGTTTATTTGATTTCATTTATTTATTTATTTATTGTTGCCAAATGGACAGATCTTTTTTTAGTTTCCTCGGTAGCAAACGTTAGCCTAGCTTGCTTGCCAAGCTATTTTCATAAATAATCTGTAAGATCGTTTGTACCTTCATCTGTGACTGGAGGCCAATGTCTAACATCATCAACCCAACAAGTCTGCCTGGCTGTAGCTGTCATCAAGGGTGCGTTATCACCTTATCTCCGAGGTTTGTTTACATACTGGTGCATATGTCTATGCCGGTGTAACAGCTCAGTAATGGCGTCGCCACAAGATGGCAGCCTACACAAGAACGCTCGTCGGATTCGTCTATTGGTAAAAAAAAAAAAAAAAAAAAAATGCAACTGGTCAAACAATAAGAATGTCAGTTGACCAAGACGGCATCGACCGATTAGTCGACTAAACGACTAAAGTTGACAGCCCTAGAATACGGTAGGTTAGAGACAGCAGTTTCATGCACTGCAGGCTTCCACTGGTTTGATTATTTACCGTTTCATGTCAAGGAAAAGTTCCATGTTTACCACAGCCAGTGTTGGGCACTTAAAAAAGTAATTAGTTATAATTAGTAGTTACTTCTCACAAATAGTAACGGAGTATGAATACATTATAAAAGTAACTAATTACCAGGGAAAGTAACTTTTGAGTTTTAAAAAAAAATTGTAAATAGGCCTGTCAAATAACTTGAATGCACCCAATATTAAATGTTAAATTAATGAAATGCACACTATAGAATAAATTATTATTATAAAACATTGTACACTACTCGACTCTATCGTAATGTTGCTGTGGGACAATGTGAGCAACAACTATTAAATTCAATATATTATTTTAAACATTATCATTACTATAGTAGAACAATAGAACATAATTTTAGGTTTAGGTTTATTTAATATTGCAGTGACCACAACTGGCCAACAAATAAGTCTAAAAATAAATTATGCGTAAATGTACCAAAAATGAATAAATAATCATTTTAAAAAAATACACACTCTTTGTATTGAAAATTAAAATAATAACCAGTTTAACAAGAAGTGCTCCCAGAACCCGAATCCCCAGAACATTCCCTGCAGGTTATTTTTTAGATTTTATTTGTATAACCATGTAAATTAATGAAAAAGTTGCAGATGATACCAATAGGCTACAGAGATTATTCTAATGCTGAAATCTGTAATTTATTTATAAACAAACTACTGTATAGTCCTCAGACACACTCGGTCTCAATCTCGTGTATTCAAACAGTATGTGTGTATCAAGCAACTTAAGAATGCCAAGTGATTAAACTGGTTTTGCAGAGACGTCTTGGATCATTTGGATACTGTAATAGAGGAGATGGAAAAAAACAATACAATGGATGTAGGGCTTGTCGTAGGAAATGCTGTTGGTTTTCTCCAAATACAAGCCAATAACACAGAAATCAAAGACAAATGCTACTCTTCATATCAGAACATCATCAACGTAAGGCCTGAAAAACATTCAAATGTCCAGCTGGTCTAGGATTCTTCATTAATCAACATGAACTCATCTTTACACAGGTGGTTAATTGTCAAAATATCCAGAGTAGAAATTTTTCCTGGTCTGTAAAGATTTCCAAGGAGGCCTTTAATAAATCACGTTTGGAAAACAACGGAAATGCGTATCTTGGAGTTCTACGGTTCAATAATATGGGAGACAAGGTACTTCAATGAAAAACATTTAAATTCTTTGTTTGAGTATTTTAAGGAATGTTTAAGATATATTTGTAATTGTAAAAAAAATAAAATAAATTGACACATGCACAGCTCTTTTCCACAGTGACATAAATCTGTTGTAAAAATCTGTTATCTTTTAGCAAATCACATGCACTTCTGTTATAATGCAAATGTTGCAATGTTGTTTGGAAAAAAGCTGAAGATTAAATTTATTTAAAAAAATATTTTTGTATTTGAATGAAATTATTAACATTTTGGTGAACTATTCTTAAAAAGTTATGATATTTTAAAGTTTCATAAATGCTAAAAGTCTCCTACAACATTCTTATATGCATCATAGATTAACAAAAAAAAAGAAAAACACTAATTTTCTCATAATATATATATTTCACAGCATCACATTTTTCATACTGTAAATATTGGAATATTGGAAAAACAAAAGCTTTTTAACAAAAGCTTCTTGATCTATTTATTCACATGTTTATGTTTGATTTGTTTTTGATTTAGAATCAAACTTTGAACAACGAGGTTTATGGAATAACGATGAGTGCCAATATCTCCAACCTTACCAACAATATTGAAATGGTCTTTAAACATAAAGATCTGGTAATTTATTTTATTTAATTTTTTTTGTAAAATATTATTATTATTATTATTATTATTATTATAATGAGCACCAGACACTGTGAAATCAAAGTAATAAATCAAACATTTTTCTCACAGGTCAGGAATGCGTCCTGCAAATCTTGGGATGGCAAAGGTAGATTTACTTCTAGATCTATTTATCAGTTCCCATCAACAAACCTATATTGTATTTTAATATATTTTATTTATTTACGCACTGTTTTTTCTTAAAAGGAAATCTAACATGGACGACATCCGGCTGTGAAACAGTAAAAATCGATAACACCACCATAAAGTGCTCGTGTTCACATCTGACGTTCTTCGCAGTGCTGATGGTGAGAAACTTCTTAGTTTCATTTAAAGATCCCATGAAATCCATATCAGAATCTTTTAATTCACATATATTTCTCTGATCTCTCAGTCTCCTCCAGGTGAAAATCAAAACAGCACAGCGGAGTCTGTGAAATCATTGAGCTTCATCACTTCTATCGGCTGTGGCATCTCCATGTTTTTTCTGTCCGTCGCTCTGTTCATGCATTTCCTATTACGGTAGAGTGTCTTAAATATTTAACACCTAGTTTGTGCGTTTAGTACTTCAAGTATTCAAGTTAAAAGTCTTTTTGACCAGTTGCATTTAGGGATGCACCGACATATTGGGCCCTATTTTAACGATCTTAAAGTAACTTTGTGGGCGGGTCTTGGGCGCTGTTGCTATTTAACCGGCGGGACGTAAAAGAAAGAGAAGTGACATTGGGGATGGGACAAACCCACCCAAATTAGCTTCAGTTAAACATGCATATAATAATTTGGGTAAATGTGTAAGCTTTATGCCTATTTTTCCCATCGTCATGGACACAACAATGATTTCCCTTGTGTTTTAATATTTTTCCTTATAATAATGTATCATTTGCAAAAAGTAAAATGCATCTGTAGATGAGATAATCATGTCAGAATCAGTGCAAAACTGGGCTTTTTTTGGCCGATACCGATATGGTGCCGATATATTGTGCATCCCTGGTTGTTTTTGCTTCTCTTTTGGATTAAAAATTCTGCTAAATTCCTAAATGCATGTTAAAAATACAGTGTTTTTATATTCGAACAGGAAAGCCAAATCAAACCAGGCCACAAAGATCTTGATGAACATGTTTGTGGCTTTGTTTCTCCTGAATCTATCCTTTTTGTCAAACGAGAGCGTGGCCAACACAGAAGACAAGGCTGCGTGCGTCTTCATAGCGCTGCTCATGCATTACTCAATGCTGGCTACATTCACCTGGTTCTTCATTCAAGCTCTTCATATGTACTTATGGCTCATCAGACAGAACATCACCATCACAAACTACATGAGGAAGATCACCGTGGTCGGCTGGAGTGAGTTATATGGAGAAATCAACTGTTATACTTTTGCCTTAAGAAACAAAAACCAGCAAATCAGACCGTAAACTCAAGTTCACCTGAAAAAGAATATAGGCCTATATATTCAATATTGTGTTCTTATGAACTCCTGTCATGAAACTTTTATGTTTTTGACCTTTACTTCAGCAGCTTGTCTTTATTAATCGCCTCTCACTATTTTAATATTTAGTCATTTTAGTACATCAAGTTAAATTAAATTAAATGAATATGAAAAAGGTTTCCTTGGCAACTAGCTGAAATAAAATGTTTTTTTTATTTATTTTATTTTCAGTTAAAGTTTATTTTATTTCAAGTATGGAACATTTTTTTATGGTTTTGGTTTTAGTTACCTAATAACCCTGATCTCTTTCAGCGTTTCCAGCCCCGATAGTCATAGCTGTTGTTTCAATAGGAGGATATAAAACACGGGTCATAAACACAACGTCTGGAAAAAACATACGAATGTAAGTTGTTCTGATGTCATAGATGCATGAATTAATAAAACTTAGTGCATCCAGTCTATCACACTTGATGTGCAAAATGTCCATGACAAACGTCCATTGAAAAACATCCAACCGAGAAACAGTCGCATTCTCACGAGAAACAAATCTGGACAAACGGTGATGTGCTCAGAAGAAACAAATCTCGAGAAACTGTCGCCCGCTCACGAGAAACGAATCTCGAGAAATGGACGCCCGCTCACGAGAAACGAATCTCGAGAAATGGTCGCCCGCTCACGAGAAACGAATCTCGAGAAATGGTGGCATGCTCACGAGAAACGAATCTCGAGAAATGGACGCCCGCTCACGAGAAACGAATCTCGAGAAATGGACGCCCGCTCACGAGAAACGAATCTCGAGAAATGGTCGCCCGCTCACGAGAAACGAATCTCGAGAAATGGTCGCCCGCTCACGAGAAACGAATCTCGAGAAATGGTCGCCCGCTCACGAGAAACGAATCTCGAGAAATGGACGCCCGCTCACGAGAAACGAATCTCGAGAAATGGTGGCATGCTCACGAGAAACGAATCTCGAGAAATGGACGCCCGCTCACGAGAAACGAATCTCGAGAAATGGTGGCATGCTCACGAGAAACGAATCTCGAGAAATGGACGCCCGCTCACGAGAAACGAATCTCGAGAAATGGTCGCCCGCTCACGAGAAACGAATCTCGAGAAATGGTCGCCCGCTCACGAGAAACGAATCTCGAGAAATGGTCGCCCGCTCACGAGAAACGAATCTCGAGAAATGGTCGCCCGCTCACGAGAAACGAATCTCGAGAAATGGTCGCCCGCTCACGAGAAACGAATCTCGAGAAATGGTCGCCCGCTCACGAGAAACGAATCTCGAGAAATGGTGGCATGCTCACGAGAAACGAATCTCGAGAAATGGTCGCCCGCTCACGAGAAACGAATCTTGAGAAATGGACGCCCGCTCACGAGAAACGAATCTCGAGAAATGGACGCCCGCTCACGAGAAACGAATCTCGAGAAATGGTGGCATGCTCACGAGAAACGAATCTCGAGAAATGGTCGCTTTTTTGAAAGAAGATTTTATGCACAAAACCATTTCATTCCATTACTCCAGCTTGTCTAACTTTTTTTATTTTTTATTACATGTATTGTTTTTGAATAAAGCCCCATTTGTCTTCTTTCAAATGATACAACAACTATGCAAATACTCTAAAGGATTTAGGAAAGACAACCATTTGAGTTCAAGCATGTAATTTTCCTGTTTTGGGCTCAAAAGGGTCCGAATCAAGAGGTTAAAAAGTCATTGTGAATTTATTAGGTTTAATTACGGATAGGGGTGTCACGATTCTCCAAATCCTCGATTCGATTAAGTTATCGATTCTAAGGTCACGATTCGATTCGATTCTCGATTTAAAAAAAAAATGTAAAGCGCAGATTGCTATGCAATTTTTAGACTACACATTTATGCATTATGCAATATAAATTTGTTCACAATGTACACTACAGCATTGCTAAATTTAAAATATAACAAAAACAAGTAACATCATAAATGTAACAATAACTTTATTAAGTCAATTGGAAACTTAAGAGAAACTAAATGGCAGGTTACTTTGCTTTTGTAACTGCAGTCTTCTCAGAAGATGACCTTTATGTTCACAATCACAACAAAACAAACAAAAGCAATAAAACAGCAATGTCCATAGACTCCACACTAGTCTTCTCTGAATAATTAAGCATCTTAAACTATTTCCGAACAGTTATATTCTGTTATAAAAAAAACATATACTACACAAATAACTACTTTTTATCCCCTGAGAATGATGACTGTATTTTTCATTATTTTATGTTCTTCCTAAAGAGGGATATGTTGTTTTGTTTAGAGCTGCTATTATCAGTTGTCACAGGGATGGTTACATTTTGTCTGTCCAACTTCCATTCCACTACCATTTCCCAGTATAATGTGCTGTGACAGTCATGAAGCTCTGTGTTGCTCTGGAGGTCCAGCAATCTGTAGTCAAGGCCACTAAATGTGCACTTCTCAGACCTTCAATAACTTTCTCCTTTACATTGTTGTACAATCAGGGTATCACCATAGTTGTGCCGGATTCACATATAGCGCCTAAAAACGCGTAGAAAACGCTGGGCGCGCCGCATTCTTCATTTTGCATAGCGCCAGGGCGGTTGCGCTTCAGTTGGTTCTTGTCACATGACCTATTGTGTGCGTATGGTGCGCTTGCGGTATTCTGAAAAGTTGAGATGTTTTTATCTCGACGCGGCGCGGACGCGCAAGTTCCGTTGATGGGTCTTCTATATCTGCAGTTGCCATATGTGTCAGTTAGAGAACTCGCAGCCTTTCAACAGGTGTTTTGTTTTCCGCACTGTGATGAGTCGTTCATCATGAATGAGTCATTCATCATAAACGATCTGTTCATTGCCTCTGTCACGCGACAAATGAACAAAAGACTCGGAAGGTAAATGTTCTCTGTAAATTATTTTTCACTGCATTCAATATGTACATCTTCTTAATGTTCGGGGAATTTGCATGTTAATAGTATAACATTTAAAGCCCCTGAAATGACTAGAAAAAAAGTTTAGTTAATTTTGATGAACGAGATTGCACAATAGAGTCAGTAAAACGATCCGAACTTTCCATCACGGACGCGACATGGGGCGTGGCAGTATCGACGATACCATTTTTTATTTCGATTTCGATACCATTGAATTAATTTCGATCGATTTCGATTTAATATCGAAATCGTGACACCCCTAATTACGGAAAGAGCAGGCACTTTAAGTGTCTTCTGATTAAATTTAACTTATTTATATTGTATCTCGTCTAATTACAGGTGCTGGATTACGGACCCTTTAATTCACTACATAGTGAACATTGGCTACTACGCTCTAGTCTTCATGTTCACGGCAGGAATCTTCATCATGATCGTCACTAAGATTGTCCAATCCCGACGCATAAGAGCACCTGACGGCAAGAGAAAGACGTTCAGAAAGCAGCTGATGATGGTGTTGAGTTTGTTCCTGCTCTTCGGCCTGACGTGGGCTGTGGCGTTCTTCAGTTATGGACCGATGCTCATCCCCTCATACTACATCTTCACCGTGTTGAACTCGTTTCAGGGTGAGAAACAATCACATATATCATTGAATGTGGTTTAGTAGGATGCTTCTATTTTTCCAACAGATTTCAGCAAATTATTTGAATTCATTCATGCACTTTAAAAAATGCTGGGTTGTTTTAACTCAATTTTGGGTCAAATATGGACAAACTCAAACGTTAGATTAAAAATGCAATTTAAAAATGTAACCCAATGGCTGGGTTGGTCCATATTTGACCAACCCAGTTACACTAGTCTCGATCAAAACTTAAGGTTGAGCCACTGTAGTCACTCTGACTATTTAATGATGTCTTTAACTTTTCTGGGTCAGCAAGTTTCAATCCCTTAGAAGCCTATGGAGTGATCCAGCTCTCAGATTTAATCAAAACTATCATTTTGATGTGAACTAGGCTATCCCTTTAAATCTTTAAAATCTATAAGGAATAATCTTCTCTGATTTTTTCAGGTTTTTTCCTCTTCCTGTATTACTACCACATTCACAAAGACATAGAAGGCCATTTCTCTGATGATCCAGAAAGCGCCGGCTCCACCACAACCATCGTTCAATCCAGAGATAATGCAGTGGAAAATGTTTATGAGCCTAATTAAGAGAGCAAGTCAAAAGTAGAAGGTCAGAATACTAGTCGTGTTTAATAATAATCTCTGAAATGTTCTACGGTGAGGGGGTGTAATGACTGATGGGATCATAAATGGGATCTTTAGCTTTTAAGACATTTCAAACACAAGTTAATTTAACAAATATATGAACATAGTCACTGAAAGCTACTTTAAGTTGTAATTTTTCTCGTATTGTAAATTCAGGGTAACTGTAACCTAGTTATGAAATATATTGTTTGACTGACTTTTGAATGTTTAAATTGTGCAATGATCATTATTTTATTTGATGTAGTTGTAAAGATGTTATGTAAAAATTATTTTGTTTCAAATAATTATAATGCAGTTTTCATCTAGACTTTGAAGGCTAAACAAAAGTGAAAATTATATTGTTTCTACAGTGCACTAATATGATAATTTTTATTAACATTAACAGTATGAATTTGTGCATTATATTCAATATTTTTGATTTAGTCTTTCTACATATAAATATTAGTGGTATGCTACAACACATTTCTTATTGCAGGTTTGTTTTCAGTATTTATGTATTTGATATGCATTTATGATAGTGATGTAGGTTTGTGTAACACTAGAGGGCGCTGTGAGATTGTGCAGTGTAACTCACAGTGTCTGAGTTGAAGATGTGAATGAGATCATCTACTATAACTCAGTGTGACATGTAGTTGCAATTACAACCAGCTATTGACTCAATACTTGTGATTCACATTGACTAATAAATTTCTATCCGGTTGAATGACTTGAGCAGTTCATTTGTTGATGACATAATAAATGCTAATCTTTTGAACATGCATTATATTTTCCACAAAAATATGACGCAACACAACCATTTTTATGATAATAATCATAAATGTTTCTTGAGCATCAAATCATCATAATATAATGATTTCTGAAGGATCATGTGACACTGAAGGAAGTAATGATGATGTCTTCGACTGCAAGAACTGGAGCGCGTCACAAATGAAACCGAAACTCACCATATAGGATACTTGCCTCATAGAAATGAGGAATAGGCCTATAGACGGTCAAAATAGGTCTACTTTTAAACAAAACAATTAGAAATAAATAGTTTGATTACCTAATCCATTTAGGCGCATTCACTACTGCAGGAATGACTAATGACTCAGCATCGCCATAATCATATTTGCTGCCAGCACACTTATTAAACACTTGTTCATTAATAAATAATTAAAATATATCCTTGCTGTTGTTTCCCGACTCATCCATCATTAGGCTACCGTTGCCAGTGCTTTACGGCAAGCTTCATGTGTGCTGAGCGCGAGGCATAAATCCCGCCCCCTAGTAGCCAATATTTAATTTAATTCACATTTATTTGTATAGAATTTTTCAAAATACATATCGTTTTAAAGCTGCTTTGCAGAAAATGTATGTTTCTAAATTACAATTTAGAGTGATCTGTTATCAGAGGTGACAGTGTAATGCATTTCAATTAATTTACATTCAGTTTCATTGTTAAACAATGCATTAAGATAAGGCAGAAACAATGAGCTCATTGCAGTAAAGAAAACCTGTTAAATCGATTAGGAAGCATAGAAAACTTTAGCATTGGTGTTTTTTTTACATATTCAAAAAATATGAGTGTGAAATAGTCTGAAAAATAAAAATAAATACAAGTGTGAAAACTGAAAAATAAAATAAAAATTTAAATAATATTAAATTGTTACATAAAATTGGTTACAAACTGGTATCGAAAAAGGTATTGTTCAGGAACCGGTATCGGTATTCAACAATTTGTTACGACCCCCAGCCCTATGCATAGCGGATTCTTAGCATAGCCTCCTTTTTGCGCCGACCCACCTAGGGAGCGCAAGTTCATTTCCTAGTTTACCGACGTGCGTCTGTGGAGGGAAAAGCCCGCTTTGCGCGGGTGCAAAACAGGAATGATAAATGCGTCAGCGTACGAAGTCATTAGCAAGATAGGGCCCAGAGGGTCCGAATGAGTTCTGAAAATAATCGCACATATTAATTTAGTTTGTTTGTTTTGTTTGTTTTTTGTTGCAAAAAATATATATTAACATAAGTGAACCTCAAGAAACATTAAAATAATAATAAAAAACTATGTCATGACATCTTTAAATTCTAATAGGCCTGATATTTCAATTTTTACTGTATTTTAGATAAAAATAAATGCAGCCTTGGTGAGTCGAAGAGACTCTTTCAGAAACAACAAAAATCTTACCAACCCTGAGCCTAGAGACCTGAAGACCCCAGAGAGAGGACTCTTTTTATAATCTACACTACATTGAAATACACGGTCAGCCTAGATAACGAGTTTACTGGCAAAAAAAACAACAACTGTTGATTCTTAGTAAAGCATCAAGAACAGAAGTTTCGTGCATTCGTCAAAACCTTACACTGATGAGTTGGAGACCACAGTGTCCGGCCAGCCAGAGATGTTTGTTTGCCCAGATTATAAAGGCTCATCTGCCTGGACAAGATATGGCAGATCTCTGCCTGTGTGGCTTGTGTTCTTCTCCAAATCATCTCACTGGAGACAGGGAAAGACCGGGAAAAGAACTGTGGTCGCTGAGACTCTCAGAAATGTTTACATGGATCAGATTTTCAGTCTGATGTGGCAGGAGCGGAACAGTATCAGGAAATAGTTGGGGAAAGTCATTGTCCGTGGCATGTCTATTGAGCAACATGCAGTGAAGTTTAACACGAGACAGGATTGGGTCTGAACGCTGCTGAAGGCCTCGTGTTGAGAGTGATGCGCACAGAATAAACAACTTTATCTGAAGATGATTAATAGTTGAATTGTTCTTGGTGCCAAACCGCAAGTGAAGTGGGTAATTACTGCCATACATAAACGCTTCAGGGTTTGATTCTTTTGTCAAGAGCACAATGTGTTTGATAAAGCAACAGTAGCATGTCAACGCTAAACCAAATGTACTCTAAAGTATGTAACTTTTTTGTTTGAAATTAACATTTAATAATGAGCGAGTGCATCATAAAACCATTTTACAAATCATGTGTTTGCCTTACCCTAAATCACAATTTTTTATTCTATGGCTGCGTTTTACTCCATTTTAACTGCGTCTAACTAATATAGGCATTATTTTGACATTTATCTGCATTTAATACTTGTTGTAGCTACCTTAAGCTGAATTTTTTTACACTGTTATAGATTATTGTTGGGGTTTTTTTTGCGTATATTTTATTTTTAATATAGGCTAAACAATTAAAATATTCATATTTAATGTTAGTTTATATTTTATTTTAACAGCCCAAGCATACAGGCCTATTATGGTGCACAAAATAAATTCACATTCATAAATAAAGCAAAGAAGTGCAGGCTATAAGCAGTAGTGATGGGGGAAACATCAAACAAATTGCATCGCAAAGATTCGAAGCATTCGAAAAACACCACACGCTAGTGACCCCTGCTGGTCAGAAGAGCGTAAATGCAACAAAAATTCAAGCCAAACATGCACAAAAACACCTTTTACAAATACACAGCAAATATTTAATTGAAATTAAAATCTATGAAATGTAATTAACTAATTACTCAAGATTAAATGTCAAGGGTCTGTATAATACGCGTTTTCTTTTATCAATTTTCAAGGCTTGTTTTATTCAGTCCATGGATGGCTCAGCTAACTACTATTAATCTTAATTATACTAATATCTCATTAAAACATCTAAAAATGTACAAATGTATAATAAACCGGATCAAAGATCAGGTAAAACCCATAGACACTTGTTCAATGGTTCGCCTCTGAGAGTTTCATGGGTTCACAGATCATACACCCCACAAACGTTATGTCTGTCAGTGTTCCCAAACTTCTGTATCATCATATTCCACTCAAAACAATTGTTTTTCAAAACAACAGCAGGATATAACTTAAGCCACTTACCTGCTCATCAGACGCATTTTCGGATATCACTTACCTGCTTATAAGACGTATTTTCGGATATCACTGCTCATATTTTCGGATATCCTTCTGTCGTTATTGGGGCAGTTTTTGATGTCGTTAGTGACATTCGTTACAATTGTTCCTCTGCAAATTACGTGTAGATTTATCGCTTTAACCACTAGAGGGCCAAAGGTGCCATAGAGTTGCATCAATAAATGTTCAAATGCAATACAATTCCAACTGTTAAAATGCACAAATGTTAAATTCAGCATTGAAACCCTCCAGCATGTCCACTGTAAGTGCAGTATAATTTTTATAAAATGAGCAATGAAAACCTTATCTGTGATGTTTGACAGCATGTCACAGATACTTTCAATACAGAACTAGTTTTGCAGAGCAATTCGCACATTTTACTGCTCAGTCAACCACATTTCACAAACATTGCAGTCCTACTGTACATTTACTAGCGATATAACACCAAATATAGAACAATATTCACCAGAAGAATATGCTAATCCACAATCAAGCCGCTCTAAAACAAAATGAACCTTTTACCAAAAGTTTTTGCACGCAAAAGTACAGAATAAAACACGAATCAACATTGCATAACATCACATAAGCTGTGCATTGACTAGAATCACAGAGCAATGTTTAACAACAATCCCAAACTCTAAACCAGCTGGTCATTTGTCTATTAGCCTATATGAATAGTCTTGCCAAATAAAAGCTCCCGCCGTTATTATCTGATATCAACACACATTATGTCGGTCAGTGTTGCCAAACTTCTGTAACATCATATTCAATTAAAAACAAGCAATTTTACAAGCCAAAACAACAGCAGGATATAACTTAAGCCACTTACCTGCTCATTAGATGTATTTTCGGATATCTTTCTGCCATTTGGGCAGTTTTTGATGTCATTGGCTCTGATATGATGAGGCGATCATCTGTAAACGTTTCAGATTCATTTGCGCGGAACAGCAGAGCCGAAGCACAACCCACGCAAGGAGCAAAACATTGGGTCTCATTCACTAATGCATACGCAAAAGTTTGTGTGTGAAATGTGCGTAGGAAATATTTTAAGAACAAACTACGATTCACCAAAAAATTCGTAATCATTTTTTAATTATTTTTTTTTTTTTAATGAAAAAACATAGGAATAACCAAAACCACAAGTAAAAGCACTTACTCTGTGCGGCCTTGGTCGTGTTAAGAAAATATATTTCATTCGAACACGACTATAATTATATTGAAGTATGTTGCACTCATTGTGTTAAATAATCTGTATATAACATTATATTATATAAAATTATTAAATAATACAATTTAATTTATTCTTAAATATTTTCCAAATGTACGCTAAGTGTGGAAAGCTCTTATATGGAGATGGTTTGGGCGTGTTTTATGCAAATGATGAACACTAATACTCATTTAGAATATGGTAATCAGAGCGAAGTTAAGAACAAATTCATGGGTGTATGAAAGTGTTGTGAATTAGGCAGCGATTTTTCGTGGGAAGTTATCCTGTGTAT